CAGACAGTCCGCCTGCTAACTGTTTTGTTAGCATGAGTCAAAGAGCCCGCGCTAATGGCCTCTTCCGGTTTTATACAGTGTAGTTCAAAATTGCAGTGTTACTTTACTGCCACCTATTGAGAAGATTGCAGCTAGTCACTAGTTTATCAATTTAATTGACAAACATGCTCGATAGTGCCATATTTAGGATGACGCTACCAAACGATAAGAACATACAATATAGACGTAACTACACATTTGTTTATCAGTAATCAGAAGCTAGTGTGCGCTTGAGCTATGTGGTTACCATCCTGCATGTTTCGGGTGCAAGCTGCCGTGTTTGTTTGTTTTGGTTTCCTTTGCTGTTGTTTTTTGTTTTGTTTTTTTGTTTGTTTGTTTTTTGTTTTTCTATTTATAATTCATATATTTGCCATTTGCTTAGATTTCTGCTATTTCCACTATTAAGTTATATTAATATTAATTCGAGCCTGACGCTGCCTGAGAAGTTTGTGTGTGATCTGGACCACCTTAAATCGCTTGGTGTGCACCACGTGGTCCTATTCCTGGAAAGTTCCTGGAAATGCTTGCTTCTTATGTGCTCATCGGATATTCGGGTGCTGTCTCACTCGGTGGGTTCGGGTATCTATAAGAAGCAGCAGCAGGAGCAATGGGCGGACTGAATCACATTTTGGGCGCGCTCAGGTCTTAATTTTGCAGTATGCGTCGATTTTGCTGAAACCATTTATGGACACAGAGTTAATTACTGTAATCTGTTGTCTGTAATAAATGTAACGTCGATGTGTTTAACGTTAAAGCCTGCTGTTTAGAAGCAATAGTGAGGAAGACGGCAAAGCAACCTGCCACAGTGTGAACAATATGTGGATTTAACACCGCCCGTGCCGCTTGTCATGTCGGTCATTTTGACGAAGGAGCGACACACGAACGACGGTCCTCGGGGTAAAGGAAAAGCCAATGCCCACGTCTATCGCTCAAGGTATGTCTGTCACGACCCGCTGAAGTAGTTATATTATTTTGTTCGTGAAACCTGGATACAATTGTATTGTCGGATCGAGGGCAAGCACAGCAAGCTAAGCATGTTATGAAACCTGAATTCACATCAGTATGACTGGATAAAGGCCAAGTAAAAAGGAACACTACACGATGTTTATTTTTGGCACATAGCACAGGCAAAGTTGAATACAAACGGGATAATAAGTGTGCATGTTTATACACTATTGTCAATTCAGGAGAGAGAGGAGCGTGTTGCTGGTGCGACCTGAGCTGTGAACTGCTGTGAATGTTGTCTCATGCAGTGGACCTGGCCTAAAAGGCTGAAGGTTGGATCTTTTCGATGACCTGCCAGTCATTTGAGGCCCCTGAGCCCATTGAGAGTGACAGACGAGCCGACACCAACACCAGGACCGTGGAATCAGATGAGAGCCGCATCGCGTTGGCCATGAAGGAGTTGAAAAACACAGGTCAATTCACAGAACGTTTTTAAACACATTTCCTCTTAATACATGCAGTTTTAAATCACGTATTGTTTTCATTTATTTAATAAATGCATTGTTTCTCCTTTTGTCAGGCTGGTACTGGGGCAGTCTAACCGCCAATGAAGCCAAAGAAATCCTCCAGGATGCCACTGAAGGCACATTCCTGGTCCGGGACAGCTCACAGAGGGATTATTTATTCACTATTTCTGCTGTAACATCAGCAGGTCCTACAAACTTGCGCATTGAATATAAACATGGAAAGTTTAAATTGGACTCTGTTGTTCTGGTCAAGCCTAAACTCAAACAGTTTGACAGTGTTGTTCATCTGGTAGAACACTATTTCAAGCTGTCCAGGAATAGTGATAAGACTACTGTAGACTCTCAACCGTCAGCACCTCCAAATGGAACCGTGCAGCTGCTCCTCACCAAACCTGTGTACACTGCCACACCATCACTGCAGCACCTCAGCCGCATTGCCATTAATAGGACAACACGGCATGTCCAAGCTCTGCCAATACCCAAGAGACTCAAGGACTATCTTCTAGACTACACCTATAATGTGTAGCTACTAACTACCTTCAGCCAGAATCTGAGGACGGATGGATGCAGTTATATAACCAAGATGTAATAGGTAGCAGGTGCTGTGTCATTTCTCCACTAGACACAAATTCTATATTTTGGACCTGTTGTCACATAATAAGTAAGTATTTATTCATTAAAATAAGGGTATGTGCAGATTGAACACTGTATGTTTAAAATGCTGGTCATACTTTTTACTGTGTAGAAAACATGACTTGAAAATACTGCAACCAGAGATTATCTACATCTGCGTTTTAAAGCCTTTACAGATCTAAAGACTTTGATTCCCCTTACTCATTTATACAGCATAACAACACACTGTTATCAAATAATGGCTATCTGGACTATACACAGATGCAAAAACATGCTGCTTAGAGAAGATATTTTAAGACTCGGATAGAGCAGTAATTAATATGGTGCAGAAAATGTGTAAATATGTTTGTTTTTTTTATGAAAACCATATTTTCACTGCAAGTATTTTCAAGATGTCCTCAGTCATTAAGATAAGCTGCTCCCAATTAAGCTTTATACAGAATGATGACCATAAATTGATGCGAACAGTTTTCTTTCTTTTTTAAAAAGAGACAATAGAGCATTAGAGAAATTTATACATAATTGTTTTTGGGTGAGCAGTGGTAGTGGTATCAGCAGAACCAATGTTTTCTGGTATCCATTTGGATTCATTGGTGTTTATAAGATTTAAAGGGTCCTTGTTTCACTTTTCGGGTGGGGGTCCACCTCCTTCTTGTTTCCACTGAAATTTTTTTGTATTTTTTTGTAATGTTCCATAGTATGGCATTCAATTTTTGTTATTATTGCTCAAAAATACCTTGAAAAACAAACACAATACTTGGCCATGTAGCACCCCATCCCCCTGTCTGTTTCCAGGAAAATAGGTGTGGAACCCTGCACCAGAAAAGTTACATAGTGCACCTTTTTAGCTGTGAAGTTGTGACTGTGTGAAAATATTCACAGAATAAGGTTTGATAGTGGGCAAAAGAAAAACATGCATGTTTGTTGATTTGATCATGCGTCATCAGTCAGTGCTTACGTATGTTAGACACTGGTCTTGTTAGACTTTGTCCAGCTTTTTGTAGTCACTCCTTAAACATCCTTAGACATCTGAAACAAACTCCATTAAACTACAAGACAACTACTTTTCTGTGACCTAACTCAAAAAAACAAACAAAAAAACCCCCATACAATTGTGGAAACAATAACAATTTGAGTTCAGAAATTTAAATGAATATGTATTATATATTAATGGCCGTAAAAACACACACACACACACACAAAATAAACTGCAATATGAGATATCTGCTTTGTTATTGTGGAATTCTCTGGGTACACCAGATTTACATTTTTTGTTCAATGCAGCTTTTTCCTAATTGAGCATTTTTCCTGAAAATACCTATTTATTGATTGTGTTGCCTTTCTGTTCCTTTTTTTATTTAATAAAATTTGTACCAACTTCACAATTTTTCAATAAAAAAACCTGTCAGTTTACTTTTAGTTTTGTTTTTATGGCACTGAAGGGTGACATTTAGTTGTTGCAAACTCATTGAACCATCTGGACATATTTGAGAAATACTTCTCAAAGCTATTGACTCACAGTTGGTTAATATGTAGTCTCACTCACACCAAAACATTTCCCAGAAATGTCGCATGCTTTCTAGTACACAGTGTAGGTTGTTTCAGCCAAAGCGCAAAACGGACCAACCTGTTTTAAAACTGTCCTTTTTAAAAGTCACCAGAATGTTCACAATTCCAGAATGGAGGCAAAATAATGTAACCCACAATAACATAGTTTCAATAATTAACTGACATCTAAATGTTAATGGTTTAAAAAAAATAAAAAAGTCAAAATAGAGTCCAAGCTATTACTGGGAAAACATTTTTGAAACGAGTTCAGTCAAACCTAAAAATCTAGATTTAGCCTTAAAATAAAAGTGGGGCGTAAAATAAATTTAATAAAACAAGAGCTAGAACATGGCCCTCTCATTCTCAATTGTGTATGGTTCCACTTGCGCGTTGTTTCTAGTCGGACATAATAACAAACTCGCTGCTAACTGCAGACGCAGTTAGCTTGTGGTTTTAATACATGAATCTATTAAAATGAGGGACACTTAAATCTTATTATGGATAAGCGACACAAGGAACTACTGAGGAAACACAGACTATGGCTGTCCGAGCAGCTCCTAGTGTCCGAAACTGTCGTGCAGTTTTTATATCAAGAAGACATTTTAACCCAGGCTCAGGTAGAGGAAATCGAGTGCCAGACTAGTAACAAGCAGAAAGTGTTGAAGCTGCTGGACATCCTGCCTGCCCGCGGTCCCCAGGCCTTCCACTCGTTCCTCCAATCTCTGGACGAATTCAGCTGGGTCCGAGACACACTGCGGAGAGACTTACACAGCCAGCCCGGTCCAGCACTCGGCTCTGCAGGTCAGATGTCTTTCCTACTCAGTCATAAATATACTGTTTAGTTCTATGCCCCACCCCCTACTGCTCGATTAAATATTCCATAAAGTCAATAAATGTCAGCATAAAATGTGTACATTTTTTAACTCATTAACACTGGGAATGAATTAAAAACAGGAGCCCAGGTTTATTTAGTAAGTGGGCTACATTCACTTAATTATTACTTTGATCACATTAGTTTTAGCTTTAATTCTTAAGTTCCATAACATTGGTCACAATTTGAATTGGATGTTAGTTTGGATGATGTGGATTCATGTGATCAGGCTGTTACAGCAAACATCAGCCTTTCCTGCAGAAATGGATTCAGACAGCTCCTGCTTGGCTTCCTGGAAAGCAGGAGACAAGTAATGAGGGGAGGATCCTGGAAGGCAGCTGGAATTGAAATGCTTTCTTTGCACTCCAGCAGTGTGTGATCTCAGATGCTCTCATGTTTAAGTCTTGGGACGTCCTATTGCAAATTTGTTCCTTGAAAGTGTCAAAGTAACTGTTTTAACAAAGTTGGGACATGTTTTAGAGCAACTGTAGCCTTTTTAGGATTATCAATGCTTTGGTAGACCAGAGACTGGATCATGGTACTTGTAGAGGTGTTTATGATTGGATTTATTTTATTTGCTACACTTAGTTAGTAAACGTAAACTTCTAGTTCTGCAGATATTTTCTGAAGTGCAGAGGTTGCTCTGAGAGCTACAAGACCTATCTCTTCTTGATAAAGTCACTGCCTCCAGGAACTGTGATGTCATGCAACCTCTGCTTATTATCTATTATCTATTTAATGTGTTACTAAGGCTGATATATATGATATTACCTTTCAACACAAAACTTGTTAAAAGTAGAAACCTTACTTTTTTTTAAATTTAGGATAATACCCTCTCTTTAAGGTATTCTGGATAGTGGGTGGTTTGCCTTCACTCATGAAGCAGCTCAGTCCAATATTATTTTCTTCACAGATGATGTTTGTATCAATGACCACATCCTCCACAGAGTACCCACAGACCGCGAGCTGTCCCGTATCGCGACTCTCCTCGGGGGGCAGTGGGAGGCTGTGCTGTTGGACCTGGACCTCACTGCAGAGGACTTATACCGTTGCCGTTCTGACCACCCGCTAGATGTGCATGGGGCAGCTTTAGATGGGCTGGTGCAGTGGAGGAGGGCACAAGGGAAGAGGGCAACTGTCCAGCAGCTGATCAAGAGTTTAAAGGCAGCAGATATCCATGCATCTATGCTCCTGGACGCCCTACACTAAGAATTTTATCTTTAAATTCTATTAGGAATGGGTTGGGCCTGATAAATTCTGTTTGGGTGTGTTGCCAGAAACCATATTGTATAATAGTTATGTCTTTAGGCATGGCACTTAACCCACCTTGACTCCATGTTCACTGTACACTGGTAAATGTGAGAGCGAATGCGGGACGTATTAATGGATTATAGTGGACTACACTATAGGCCTATGGTGTATTTACATCATCTTTATCTTGTATGTCCATTAACATGCACTGTCTCGACAAAACAAACAATAATGTTAGTGTAACTCTAAAGCAGTAACATCTCCTTGGAGAAAAGCATGTTGTAGACCCCACTACAAATAGCTTCAAAAAAGCATTGTTTTTGTATGTCTAATGAGGAGTTTCTTTCCTTCTCTGAGCAAAGTTTACTGACATGACATTGATACACCTTTGGAAAGCTGAAATACTGCAAATAAAAGCCACACAAAGTAACAAAGGCTGCTCTGACTGTATTTAATTCTTCAACAGTCTGTAGAGGTTGAGTTGCTGCCTAGGATCTGCTTTCTGGTCGCGTCAGGCTTTTTTTAAGGTGGCCCCAAAAAGTATCTACACCAGCCATAAAAACAACAATGTTTCAGCACAAGTTTAGACCTCTGCAAGTTGGTTGAAATCTGCTAATTTAAGTTTTCCACTTGTACAGTGTCTCTCAGCAAACCCAAAGAAAACAGTTCTTTTGCATGACTGGGCAACTTCATGTGAGTCCTGTGAGTTTCTCAGAAAGCTGTGAACACTGAGCTTTATATTCACACTTATTCCAAGAACTGGCAAAGTATTTACAGGCTTCTACTGCTAAGACTTTTATTATACTGCGCCTACACTCTGGGACACATAGTTTCACTTACTTTGTTTACATGGAACCGCTGTAACTTTTAACTGTTTAACTAGATAGATTTTTATTGGAAAAGTAAGTAGGTTGATATAGAAAAAACACATGAATCTATTCTGAATTTTAGTATGGTCTGGTAAAAATGTGTATAACATCAGATAGTGAAATTAAAAACAGTAGCATACTATTTGGCAGTTACATTCTATTGTCTTACAGATGTGTTGTACGTATTGTAAATGTTTTGTATTTTATAACAATTATCAAACCTTTTACTTGGTATCAAAATCAAATATCAAATACAAATTTATTGTATCATGACAATATTGCTTGGTTCACAGAATGTGACAAAGTATTGCCTCTACAATTTATAGAACTCCTGTAGGAGAAAGCTAATATGAGATTAGTGTAATCTATAAACAGCCATCTTGGAGATAGCTAAGGAGGACTGTATAATGTGTACTGGGACACAAACAATACTCCAGTCAGAGAGTAAAACAGACACAGGAAGGTATTTTCTGAGCTTTAATGTCCTGTCTTCAGTCTTTTAGCTGATTTGGTTTGATTTCATCTGAACTAGCCTTTCATCTGATATCTATAGGAACATTTGAATCATATTGCTAACTGAAGTTAAACACACATATAATCAGTCTATAAGTAACTGTTTAACAGTTTACATAAAAAAATATGTAAATTAATCAAGTTAATAAATTTAATTAGAACATTACATAGCAATTAAAGAAACAATTAGATATATACAAAGCCACCTCTCTCATGGATGCAGCTTTAGGTTGAAGGTAAAGATCTGAAGCTACATCAATTAGGCCAGAAGTAACAGTGTCACCACGGTAACAGTGACAGCGTTACCATGGTGCTCCCAAGGACCCCTGACCTGCCTGAATGCCTGAACTAAATACATTTAACTACAAGTGTTACTGAACAGTTACTGGGGAATTTACATCATATCTACCAACATATTTTTTGAATTAGCTATTGTTAAAATTTACCCAGCAGGGGGCGTTTAACTGACGAACATGCACTACATCTCTCACCGCCAGAGGGTAGACCGGACTCAAAAATGAAACCTGTGCACGTGAGGAAACAAAATACAGGTAGGAGCCTGGTTTAAGTAAACGTTTGTACCTTTTTGATAATTTTCTAAATTGAGTAAAACAAATTGTACATTGTTATCAATATAAAAACAGAAAATGTGTCATACTCTACTGCACAGTGCTTTATCACTCAAGCTCCGTATGAGACTTCAGCAGGCAAACGAAAATCTGATGGGGCCTGTCTATTAATAAAATAACATAGGCCTATTAAGTGTATTTACTGCGGCTCCCGTCCCTCAGACAACATCCATTTATGAAATTCCCGAATCAGAGCTATAAACTCCAGTCTATGGTCAGGGCATGATGCAGGAGATTTGGAGGAGGCAGGAGGAGGACTTGGGTCCATGCAGCCTCCGGAGAAGGGCGGGGCCACGCGCAGCAGCACCCTGATCATTCCGCGCAGCCATACCACCACCACGCCGACCTCTCCTGTCTCCAGCCCGCGAGATGGACCTCGGTTCATCGCCACACTTTCATCCACACAACGGCTGGCACTGGGATGATACAAAGGGGCAAAAGGATGGAGTCGCGCGGTGAGACACTGTGTAAACGAGGTGCACTCTGAGCGTCAAGCAAGAGCATCACGCTGCGCTCCGATGCAGCAGAAATCGCCATTGTTTGGATGCGCAGCAGACTGAAAGAAACATACATTGTGCTTTGAGCGTGTTTAACGCAAGGACATTATGGCTTCAGTGCTCATCGTTGCCTTTCATATCTACTGGATTATTCAGGTAAGAGTTTTTTTTTTTTTTTCTCTCTCTCCCCAATAACGCCTTATGGATGTCTCTCTGCCCTTATGCTCGTGTCATGTTGGCTAGCACAGCGCGGCTTTGTTTCAGCAAACAAATCTGATTTATATTTGAGTTTATCGAGGAAAAAAATTGTTAATATGGATATATTAAAAAATGTCCAGTGCGTGTGTTGGACATGGGAATCTTAGACGCCGTGGCACAGTAAAGCAGCTTGGTTAAGTCAGTCAGGCAGCCAGCCACTCGTTTTGTCCTGCGGAAAGTGGGTCAGTCGGCTGCAGCCTCAGAGATCCCTCGTGCATGTCTGTCAGCCCCAGTGAGTCTCACATAGACACTTACGGTTGGGCCCGTCCTGCTCCACTCACAGCAGTCTCCAGGCACCGCATCCAGGGACCGCAGCATCACTGGGGACAGCTTCGCGGAAAGCAACATCCCTGAGGTTATGGACATATTGATCAATGACCTGGCACATCATAGAAAACACAAGGCTTTTCATGCTGTGTTGTTTGATGTGTCTAGTTTATTATTCTGCCTACAGAATGTGATCTAGACAGTAGGCCAATGGTTTTGAGTGTAGCACCTGTTCAGGTTTGTCTTTCATATTAGTTTTATAACATGCCTGGAAGTGTCTTTATAACTTGTTTAGAAGTGCCTAACATTTCTGGTGTTCACTTGCTTGTTTACCTGAAACCTTCCACAGTATGGCATTATCTTATATTTGATGAATTATAGGCATTCCTAACAAAAAAAAACCCAACAAAACAAAACAAAAATCCTGTTGTGCCTGTATGTTACATGCATTCTTTCGACTGCCTGTCTGATCCATCATGATGTGTTTAATGGTGTGTTCTCATCCTCTAGTGCAGCTCAAGTTTGTTAAACTCTGCATCTGTTCCCCATTCCCTTGTATTCTGATATGAGGGGTGACTACCTTTAACTTTAGTTGTTAAGTCGATAAATAGGTGGATGGTATATTAGGACAGTTGCAGAAAGGAGAAAGTACACTCCATATTTTCTCCTTTTTGCTATTGTCTGATAGAGCTATCTGAAAATTTTGTCAATCTTCTGTGCAGTTTGGATCAAATACATGGTCAGATCACAGAGGTAGCCTACTGCACATTTTTTAGAGCTTTTGCCAATTTCACGCGACTGCTCTCTTAAATGATGCAAAGAGCATGTCTTTTGTGAACCAAGAATTTCTTCTATAGCTGCAACTAAACAGCTAGCAGAATCCCATTACAACTAACTTGAAGGGCCAGAGGTGTATTCATTGACACACATCAGTGTGATATATATCGACTTCAGCATAAAACATGAATAATATTGTGAAATATATATGTGACTTGACTATTGTGAAGTGATTTTGTGACAGAAATCTTTCTGAGATAGTTTGTATGATGAGTAAATGGTGCTAGGAGATATACAAGGATGTTATTTTCAGTGTATTTTCATATTTCAAGTTGCTAAATCATTGAATATTCTTTGCAGATCCTCTGTATTGTGCAAGCACCATAATCATATATTAGCATATTTTCATGTTTTATTGTTTTATTATTTTATTGTTTTACACTTTAATGATTTGTTCATTTTTCAAAACTAAGCTTAAAGTAATAAAAACTGCACCAGGAGCACAAAGGACACAGGGCTAAACAAGGTCTGAACTCCAAACTCTTTACTGTAGTCTGGTAATTGTTCTTACTATGTCTTTATATTCAGGCTATCTTTTGTTTATTTCTTAGCTCCTCTGTGTTATTAGGTGCATCTTATATAAGTGTAACATAGGCCACAGTTTTCAGCAGAGCGAACAGACCCAGTGTGTTCCTCTGTATCTCATTTACCCTGATTCAACTCTGGAACTTGTGTGAGTAGAGACTTTGTGAATTCTGCTCATAAGGATTGTGTTCAGATTATTTGCGCACTCTCACATCCAGAGATTAACTGAACATTAGAATATTCATTATTACTTTGGCCATATATTACACTGATCACACCGAGGCTTGTGAAAATAAATCAAGCTAAACACTCTGTCTATATAAAATCCAATATGGTGTTGTTTTATATCTGGCTAGTGTAATATCACCTCACTCCTTTCTCAGTAGTAATTTATAAATGATGTAGGCAGTTGCCCACATCCCAAATCAACGTTACTGGTTTCCTGACATTTTATTTCTATTAAAAAGTATAGCTATCAAATGTGAGATTCCTAGACATAATTTTTGATTAGTTATGGGGTTATGGACCTGAGTTGTAATGTTTTTATCCATGTTCTCATGCAAACATGAACTTGGGTATATATAAAATGTAAAAAATGTCTGCAAAGTTGTGTTAAAATACATAGGTACCTGGACACAGCAGAGGATTGATGGGTGAATGCCCAGCAGACTGGTGGACCTCATTGGTCTTATTCATAGGGTAATGGTCTTTGGTTGGAGCTGTCAGGGGCCTGTCTTCATCTTAAGTATAAAACAAAAACTGTTAAGGTTTGCATGATAATGTTGGCAGCTGCCTGAGGGTGCCGCCTCCTGACCCCCCCTTCACTGCCCATTCATAGGGTCACATGCTCCATTCATTCCCCAGCTCCTCTTGTGGAACAACGCCTGTGTGTTTGCATTAAGCGTGTGTCCTCACATGGCAGGCTTATAATGCACCACACAACAGATGCAACAAATGAAAAATATTTTGCAGAAACTTTATGTCTAAAACAGTTTCTTAGTTTTACACATGCTCTAAAAACATATTTTAATTTTCATTGTGTTGTAATATATCAGTTTTAGCTTAGAATACATTGTGTGATTCTAAATAGTTGACCCTCAAATTTATTTGTATATCTTACTGCAGTATTCAGATTTTCTGAGTCCCTCATCCTTTATGTGCAGGGCAGTATTAGCATGCTCCTCTCTGCTCGGTGTCCATGGTAATCCTGGACTCAGACAGATTCAACGAGCATCTCCTCCTCCTTCCCCAAACATGTCCCTCCTTTCATCTCTGTTGCCATGGTGATGACTGAGCGGCCATGAATCGGCTGAATTGGTATAGATTTTTTTCACTCTCTCTGCCCTGAATTCAGTCCCTAAGGATAGAGTGGTTTTGTTTCTTGTGTGTGGTGATCATGGGTCTATTAGTAATATTTTTATATTGCTAGAATATAACTGCTCTTTGACCTTTGACCTTAAAACTTGCACTTTGTATGCTAATGCTAAAATGTTAGTAAAGGTTTTGTGACATTTTGCTGCTGGTAATTATTTTCATATATACATAAGACAATTCATTTTATTGTCATTTCATTTAATGGAAGCCATGTGTAAAATGTAGAAAAATGTAAAATTTAGACCTTTTCAATGATTAAATTAAATAATCAATGGTGCATTTATTTAACTACTAGAAAGTCCTTTGCAGAGAAGTAAATATCCTTTCCATAGACATAACTCATCAAACATGCAAGGAATGTATATGGTTGATGCTGAATGATGTCCTGCATGATTAACATAAGCACTGTGGACTATTTATAAGAGTATTGAATTGTTATTGCAATATTTTGTAGGAAATGTTCAATTACATATTTTCCCCCTTGCCCTAATCCCAAATAAATGGAGGACTGTGTCAGGGGTATCTGATGTAATAAAACTATAAAAATAAAAAAAATAAAAACTAAATCAATAAATAAACATGCACACTGAGCCCAGAAGGAACATTAATAGTAGGGAAACATTTCTTGTATGTTAATGTTTAAGAGCTTTTCCATTAGACTCACTCATAATATTAGGTCCTAAAATGGTCAAACTGAAGCTAATTGTTCACCATCTTGTCTTCTTCTCTGTTGGCTGTCTTCATTCAAATGGGCACTGACTGGTGTATTTAAACCAGAGCAGCACCATGACAGCTGAAAAGGCCAAATTGAACAGGACTTTCTTTATAAGGCGGGCAACCTCCGAATGGCACAAACCACATGTGAGCATGTGTTTCAGTGTTCAGTGCCCTCTAAAATAATAATATTGAGCATGGTGGACAGTGGTGTGGTGGGGTAACTAACTCACAGAGGGGAACAAGTTTGAACCTTCTGAGTGCATACATATGTCACATTTGGTTTAAGGACCAGCTTAATTGTGACAACCCTAACTAGCCAAAAGCTAAATAAAAAAACACAAGTTTCATAATGTAATGCTCTTGTTGTTCACTGATCTCAGTCTGCAAAACATGTGCATTTGTCGCATATGAGGCTGTTAGCCCTGCTTCTTCAAGGCTGTTACCAGCTCTATTTATCAAATCATCTCTGTTCTCACTGCCTGACCTTGTGTGTGGGATTTTACTTGAGTAGAGGCTAACACAGAACCTACAGAAAATGACCTGAAAATGATCTAGATCCTTATTTCCTGTTCCTGTCGTGTTTTGGCTGAACACACAATCCTCACTGCAGCTCAGACTCTCCCACTGTTCACTTTAATGAAAGTAGCAGATAGCATCAGCGTCACCTGCACAACGGAAAGCTGTAAAGACCACCTCATTTTTACAGAGCAACAGCCACTGCCCACACACTTATATCAAGTTCTGGTTTCATGGCCACAGATAGACTTGTATGAAGAGCTAATGGACCTTTTTTGTTACAAACTGGCTGTCTGTAAAATACAGGAAAAAACTGTCTCCTTTGGAACGAACCTGTCCAAATAAGTAAATGTAGTTAATATAATTTTTTTATAAGATACATTGTGTAATTATATCCATTTTATTTGGTGTCATGATATTGTTATGATATTATGAAAAATATCACACATTGAATTGTTACTAAATGGAGATTGAACTGGAGACAAATAATATTTACATACCCAGTCTGTTGTAAACACATGCACAACATGTGCTCTGCATAGGCAATATGTTGAATCATTCAAACTTTTACAGTAGCTACGTTAGGAAAATGTAAAATGATTTCACTTATATTCAGCTAGTTTTTCAGCATGTTTGGTAGATTTCATGATCCTGTCCTCTGTTTCATAGATATTGTGTTGCTGAATATCCCATTAAATCTAGTGCAATGTGGGCGCCTGCCACTTGGTTCTTGCTGTGACAGGTCAGCTGACTGACCTGTGCTTTGATTGTGATGAACTGCAGCAGGGGTTCAGATTCACCTGCAGGGAGCCTCTAATTAATGCCAGCTCCACAACCTGTTCAAAACCTGCAAAGACAGATTAGTGCCCAGTTTTTCAAAACTTGTTTGTGTTGTCTGTCTTCTGTACTTACATTACAACAAAGCAGTTACAGACTGTATATTGTGTACTGATAGTCATATAGTTGGCCAGGTTACACTGATCTCTTTAGATATTCAACAGATATACTTACTATATTAGCCTACAGTGTGTTTGCCCTTTCATCAGTATGTATTAGTTTACTGTGTCTGGTTCCTCCAAGTGCTGCATTAAATGCTTTGGTCTATTTTCTACAAATATGCTAATAAACCCATGTAGTAGCATGTCTGATTCTCTCCTCTGGAATCCCCCGAGGTCTCTTTGAAGGCGCTCCCAATCTCCTCTTTCAGCAGTACCCTCACCCTCTCCTCCCCCAAAACTCAGCTCCCAACCAGTGGATAGGAGGCAGGTTAGAGGAAGAGGGGGAAGGGCTCTCCGCTAGACTGGAACCAGCAGTGAGGCAGTTTATGTAGATTTAAAAGGCATTGATGGGACGTGGAGATGACCTCTGAGACTGCAAGGGTTTTAAATGAGACTAAATCATTTATTATTTAGAGGTAAATCTAGTTTGTGAAAGTGGAAAGAGCTGCTCTGCTGCCTGAATCTTTATAGGAAGATTTTAGTGGTCTTTTTGTGGTCTGTAATTGTGGCACCTCTGTTTGAATATCAATTGAATATCAGGTTGCATTCACATTGTTGAATTTCATGATGTCATAATTTCAGATTGAGGGGGCAGTCTGACTCTGTGGGAAATTTACTGTTTTTGCAAGAAATATTCAAACTTATGATTCACAAATGTTGAACTTTATTAACCTATTTATTTGTTTTTAGTTAGCTCTACAAATATTAGTCATGTTAATCTTATGGCTTAAATTTCTTTCAGCTAACAAGAATTGCACCTTTGAGCTCTCTGAAGCTGTTGTGGAGAAATGTAACTTTAGTTTATTTATGCTATGTCAGCTTTTGCTCATGTGAAATATGCCATGAGATATTGACCATAAACCAGGTTAACAAATCTGCAGTCTGAGAGCATATTCAACTATAGAAGACCACCTCAGTTGTAAAGAGGGGGTATTTTACTTCAATGGGGTATTAACTCCTAACTCAAAACATATTTGGATCACAATTTATGTATTCACCTTTTTTATTGTTTTGAAAATTCAGTGTACGCCAAGAAGTCACTCCCCCTTCACACTGCTATCACAACGCAATCAGTATACATCCCATCAATGAAACAACTGTACATTTGCATCAGATTTGTCAAATTGCTGTGTATGGTTTTATAACATGTTTTTATATATTTATGGAGCTGTAGTGTGGGAACATGGATGGTGTAAGACTGAGCATTGCACAGAATGTTACAATTAACTGTAAGAAAGTTTAAATAGTTCCCAGAATACAATGTTATAAAATAGTAGAATGCTAAAAAATAAATAAATAATTGCCACAGCTGCCATGGGGCAGACTGATTCAAGCAAGGCTGGGAATCTGCAACATCAGCCCCTCCAACCACCATCATCACTCAGGCACACACCACTTTTATATGAGACAATGTGGATGAAGTGATGAAGTCTTGGACACAACAAGAGTTTTTGTGACTGGCACCCCCTTGTGGCACCAAATTTTTCCCAGTGGTCTCCCATCCAAGTACTAACCAGGCCCAACCTTGCTTAGCTTCTGAGATCTGATGGAATCAGACTTTGACAAGCAGGTATGGGCCACAAGAGTCTAAATTTCTGTCTTTACTTCCAGACTATCCCAGCCTTCTTGGTGACGGTGAATGAAGAGGGTGTGATCACGGCAACCCTGGAGCCATCTGATCAGCAGGAGAACATCACGTCTTATGCGGCTCAGTTCAGTGGAGAGCCACGCATCAGTGTGGTGCAATACGTGAACACCAGTGAGCCTCTGCTGTTCAACACCTCTCTCCACGGGGTCTGCTACACTGTGGGACTCCTCACTAGAAGAGGGCAGTACTGGTCTAAACCTATCAAGACCATATCTGTGCTCACAAGTAAGTAACCTCGCCACACTCTGAAAGGTTTTTAGTGGAGGGTCACCTGCTTGTCCCCTTGGAGATGTTATTGCTTTCTTTGCCTTAATTGTACCACACAGTAATCCATTATACGTATCAGTCTCTTTGGAGACAAGCAAGTATTGTTTATCAATTAAAACACATGTAATTGAAAACGGCTATAATCTTAATGCCATACTTTGGAACATTCAAGGCAAGCAGGTGGCAGGTCTTCTATCAGACTCCCTCAAAAATGAGCTGGCATACCAAGGGGAATTTTAATAATAAATTTAAAAGTTACATGGTGCACAGAAAAAAAAGCAAATCCTGTCCGCTTATGCCATTGTTTAAGTTCATATCTGTATGATTTAAATGTTGTGTTAAATGTTTTGTGTGCTTGTATTTAAAGTTGCAAATGTCTTTTTTCATCCTCAGAGCCTCTTCCTTTGCGGAGTGTACGACTATCTGATTATAAGGAGTCCCCAGAGACAGGTGTGGTGTTTCAGATTGAGCCTCCTCCCGGCAATGTTTTTAGCCGCGTCAACATCAGCTACACAGAAGGACAGGAGAGACGCTTTATGCTCTACAAAGGTTTGTTTCACCTGCTGGCTTATTTAGGCCAAATCTTGGTTATTAATATTGTTTTATATAAGAAATCCAATTTACTTTACCAAACATATTTAGCTCTTTTGATGGCTAAGTGTTTAAAGTCAGAATTTAATAGCAGCAAGCGCAATCAGAGATAGCAACCTGGACCCCCATGAGGCATCAGTGGGGACAGTTCATCACCATGGAAGGCACCTTATGATGCCATATTGAGCCCATATTACATGATCATTATATCCACAATACAATGTGTCTAGCTGTACAGTGCCCATGAACATTTGTGTGATATTGGTCACACATGAGTATGTCTGTGTTTACTTTTTCTGAGATTTTGAGACCACTCCCGTTGCTCTAGCTCGATCCTTCACGGAGTTATGACCAAAAATGCATAATTGACCTTTCAACCGTTTTCAACCTGTAACATCCAGTGTACTCCGGTTATTTGTGTGCCAACTTGCGCAATAATTGGGTGAATATTTTAGCCCGCAGATGATTCAGAAATTGCAGAAAATACCTATCCTTTATGATGGTGTGACCTTTCAATTGACCCGTGTGACTTCAAATGACCTTGGATTGTCACCAAACTTTTTTTGCGGCATCGGGCACGGGGGCTTGACCCATGTACCAAATTTGGTGACAATCGGTCCATAAATGGCAGAATTATCGTGGGTGGACACACACACAGAGACACAGAGGGTGAATACAAAACCTGGTCAACCCTTCGGGGACCAGGTAAAAATCAGCACATTCACCTATATCAGGTAGGATACCAATAATTATGATTCCCCTTTGTTTTGCAGATTTCTATAGAGGAAAGACTGTATTCAGACATTGGTTACCAGGAGTGTGTTACCGTAATATCACCTTTCAGCTGATCTCCGAGGCAACCGTGTACCAAAATACCCTGGTTGCACACAGTGACATCACTCACACCACACTACATCACAGGACAGGTTAGCAAAACACATCCTCATCCTTCGTTTATTATTAATACTTGTAAATGTCACCTATGTGGGAAGTATTCACTGCAGCGCACTAACCATTGTTATGAGCAGAATATGAAGAGGCATGTTTAAACAATGCATCAAGCTACAGGATAGTGATAATATATCCTCTGCAGTTAATTCCTACATTCATGCATCATTTGTATTCTGCATGATCAGAAATGTTGAGGGAAAATAAGACCAGACTTAGCCTAGACTTAGCCTAGACTTAGCCTAGACTTAGCCTAGACTTAGCCTAGACTTAGCCTAGACTTAGCCTAGACTTAGCCTAGACTTAGCCTAGGGCTAGAATCTGTGCTAAACTTGGTTTTAAGATGTCAAGTGTGAACACACCCTTAGACAACAATTACCTATGGTTAATTAGACCTACTGTTGTTGTGTTTTTTTTACATGTCCATAGATTTTGTCTTTAAATTAATAAAAATAAAATCATAAGATCTAAAGCTTCCCAACTCTTAAAGCTAATCAACTAACTATATCTATGTCATGTCATTTTTCCACAGTACCGTTTCCTCCTTTGAACATATCTCGTAAAATAGTCCACCTGAGCCAGGGAGCTCTGCCAAGCCTGACCCCAAAAACTGCCCTGTCTGATGGGAGCCAGCAGATCCACAGGCGCCACAGACGAGAGGTCCCAGAGGCTGAGGACCTTCACCACAATGAGAATAGTTTAAATGAACTCTTAACTGTCACCTCTGTTCCCTTCAGTTTGACTCTCAACTTCACAGAGAGTAACAATATCAGCACAACTGGAATAACTGAGGCACCTCCGACTGAAGACCCTGCATCACTGGACAAAGAGGAGGAGTTTGTCAATGCACTTGTTCCAGATTATGAGGACTCCAATGAACCAGGCTCAGCTTTGGGTCTACCCCTAGAGCCCTCTGTCATGTCCACCAAACTGCCGATCTTACCCATTCTGCTGGAGTTACGCTGGCTGCCCCCCCGACCTCCCACAGCGTATGACGGCTTTAACATCTACATTTATAGAGATGGTGAGAGACTCTGGTGTTTGTCAAAATTCATGCTATGGTGCAAATCTTCCAAAGGGTATCTAATTCCACATTTTCAATTCACACTGTAGCAGATTAATAATCTTCATAATCCTCCATTTTATTAATATTAATTTTACCTGCCCCCCCATCTGTAAAATGTATAGGACAGGCTTTGATAATTCTCTAATTTTTGCTTAAATTTGTTGGGATAATATTACAGTAAGTAGAGAGTTCTGTTTTAGAGAGTTCTATATTGATGGCATCACATCAGGGAGAATTCTGTTCAAAAGTTTGACACAATTTACACACAAGAAAAATGTGTTTCTGATACTTTGAACATGATTTTAAAATAAATAAAAGCATAAATAGAGGTTTTCTTAGTCAAATATTAATTTCTGTGTACATTAGGAGAGTGTGTAAAGCATGGTTTCTAGGTATCAGTTATTGATTCCCCAGCATGATGTCATGATTTCCAACCAGGAAGTGTCATTTGAAACCTAAAAAAGTAAAATGCTTTTTTTTAAAATCGTAACTAATGATCCTAACTTTGTTTTGTTTTAAAATTAGTACCCTAACCTGTCATAGGCACTTTAATAATATTGGCCTAAAGGGTGTTGTTTCACATGTCATCTGAAACTCAACCCTTTGCTTTTTATGCAGTTATTTCCTTCCATTCTCAGGAAACTCCACAGAAACTGCCACGGTGGATGAAAACACTCATGAGTTCTTCACTGAGCTGACGGAGCCTGGGACGTACCATGTGCAGGTGACGACACTAAGCTCCTATGGTGAATGTGAGGCCAGAGAGAGCACCACCGACACGGGCTTCACCTTCTACCTCAGTGAGTCCAGTCCTCTTTATGATTCCCTGCAGAAGTGCTGTGGGTAATAAACATAATCTCTGCCCCAGGTCCCAGTGGAGAGCTGCTGGAGGAGCTGCGAGAGCGCCCCCAGATGGTCAGTGTGCGACTCCTGGACTCGAGCACAGCCGCAGTGTCCTGGGCACCCTCCTCTGAGAACCACAATGGGAGCATGGTGTCTGTGATGTCCACCACTTGTCTGAAGCCCAGCCTAAGCCAGCGCATGGAGAACACCTACTGCAGTGAGGTACGTTCCTTCACTTTTATCACGGCAGTCGTCACAGAGCAGGTCTAGACAGGAACTTGTTTACTGTGAATATACAGCTCATGGGGGTTATTGTAAATTTAGTCAAACTGCATTCATTTATAAACAATCAAATTCATTTCATGTCACTCATTATTTATCTTTTTTTTTCTAATATAAACCATATCTTGAATTACGTTCTATCACAAACTAAGCTCTTGATTGAATCTCCTTTTTTGCCCTGTTTCAGGAGAACACGACAAGTGACATCATCACTAACCTAATGCCCGGGGCTCAGTACAGGGTGGTGGTATACCACACCAACGGGCCGCTCATCAGCCCTCCGTCTGAACCTGTCATCATTGCTATAGGTCAGAAGACACAACATTCATAAATACATACAGTATATGCTGAACACAGTTGTGTCCGTTTCAGAGCCCACGGGAGTACGTGAGTTGGCTGTTTATCCACTCAGTCCCACTGCAGTGATCCTGAGTTGGCAGCGCCCATACAATGTCGCCTTTCGGAAATATGTACTGCAGACTTTCTTCTTCAACCCAGTCACCCTGACCTCGGAGTGGACCACTTACTATGAGATTGCGGCCACTGCTTCTGTCATTGCTTCTGTGGTGTGTGTTTATGCACTGATATCTATATAGATCATTAAAATCGTAATTACAAAAATTATATATTTTATTTGCAGAGAGTGACTGATCTCCTGCCCGCTTGGTATTATAATTTTCGTGTTTCTATGGTAACGTGGGGTGACTTGCCGCTTAACTGCTGTGATAGTTCAGCTGTGAGCTTTGTTACAGGTACTTTAAGATTGAAAATTGAATGTCTACATTTCAAAATTGCATTGAAGTTTATTGTGTTCTGAGTATTACCCTTTGTCTTTCCCAGCTCCTGAAGCCCCTCACATCTCTTCAGTGGATTACTCTCATGGGGTTTTGTACATTCGCTGGACATACGGGGAGCTCTTCATTGACCTGTCCCACTCCAGGATGCTGCATTGGCAGATTGTGGCTGTTGGGAAGAAAGGTCCAGAGAGAAGCTACTCTATTGATGTAAGTCACTCATTTGGTCTGTACACTACATACACTTGACTACCTATTGTGGGAACTGTCTTGTAGCATTTAAATAGTGAGCCAGCTTTGTAGCAGCTTGTTATCTTGAGGTCAGTCTGGCTGGCTATTGATTATGTCCTCTGAGAACAGTGGATGGTCCAATTAGTGCAGAGGAATGATGCACTGTCTCCAGTGCCGGCTGGAAAAAGATTTTTCCTCCATTAAACGACCCAAGATAGTACTGTGCTGCAACTCATATGTCAGAAATAAAGTGTGTTTGGGTAAAAAACGGTTTTCAGAATTACTGTCATCTTTTGTACCTTTGTTAGGTGACTCGTAATGTCATGCGGGCCAGTCTGCCTCTGCCTCCTGGAGACATCTATAACTTGACGGTGACGGCATGCACCGAGCGCAGCAGGAACACCTCTATGCCCAACATCATCAAACTGGGTCAGCACCAACACACAACCTCAGGCCCCTGTGCCTGGGCAGAGCCAGAGCAGAGTCCACCTCTCTGGGTGTTGCATTCATGTGCAGTTTCGTTTCTGCAAAAATACAGTACAGTCACTATAAAAAGTAACAATTACATAAACCAAATCAGTCATATCTTCTTAATTATTATTTCTCTGTGATGAATTTGTATTTTTACCAATATTTAATTTATAATTGGGTAATGACAAAATGTTATTATAAAGCAACCGTTTTAAAGTTATGTCAGTAATGAAGAAACTTAAGCACATTTTCTCTTCCACCAATCTATTTTTAAGTCAAAACTGAATGAGTGTCTACTTCCTCTTGCTAGCATGAGCTTTACTCTTTAGAGGAAGTTTTGAAGGAAAGCTTACATTCTCTCCCTTTCAGAGCCGGCTCCTCCAAAGTCTTTGTACGCTGTGAATGCCACTCACTTTTCTGTGACTTTGTTGTGGACTGAGGACGGAGTTGTGGACTACTACCAAATCTACTGCAAACCTAACAAAGCGAGCAAGGATTTCAAGGTAACAAGCTCTGAATATCTCTGATAAGCTCCACTTAAGACATCAAATTATTTTATTTTTCAGACCCGTGAGCCTCAAACTGTGAACTCTCACATGGCAACAGTCTCTGGGTTAATGCCGTCCTCCACATACAACTGCACAGTCACCAGCTTCAGCTACAGCACTCCCAGCAAACCTGCCTACATTACCATCAAGACCATTGGTAGGTTTCAAACACACTTTACATATACTCACCTGAATGTAGACACTTATATATAGACTCTATTCCCTCACACCACTTCACATTAATTGCTTTCAGAGAAGTCTGTTGTTCTGTTTATATTAATGTATTTTATGTTAATTTCTCTATTGCAGCCAAAGAAATGAACCCCAGTGTGGCAGCTATTTCAGCTCTGGCTGTCCTCAGCATTCTTCTCATCAGCCTGCTCGTGCTCTTCCTCCTTGTGCTGCGCAAAAAACATCTGCACATGACAAGGTACCGACGCTTGGCCTCAATGAAGCCCCATTTTTAGACCGGACTTCCCTGCTTTTTATGCATATATGTACAATTTCTAATTTCTGTTTCAAAGTATTGTCCAAAACTAAAACGTCCCACAAGTGAAGATGCTCATGTATCCAACAGTTAACTTTCTTACAGCTATAGATAAAGAGTCATTTTCTTAATAGACATCTTTTATATTTTTTAAATGTTTATATAAATTGAATAATCAAAATAAAAGAAGCATGGCAGTTATGTATCAATCTTTATATAGCATTTTCAGTTTTCTTCCCTCACTTCCCCTATTTACTGATCTGTCATCAAATATTCGAGACTTCCCTGTTGCAGCAGTGAGTTCAAACTCCAAACTCTTGATACTGTATTTAACATGTTCTGTTTCAGGGACTGTGGAGCCGAAACCTTTGTCAATTTCCCCTCATTCGAAAGAGATGGAAAACTCCCCTATAACTGGTAGGAAAATATTGAATCTGTTTTAAATGACCTTTTTCACTTCTGCTGGCGCGTCTTTAGATGCATTGCATTAGTGTGTTATTAAAAGCATGTAGCAGCAAACACCCTTAAAGACCCAGTGATATACAGCTCAGTAAAGCCCTGTTAGCCCTGGATTTAGAGGAAGATTAGGGTCTGAGTACAGAGCTCAATGCCGACAGATTTTAGACTCTACTAATGATGCCTTCTTTATCATATCACAGGTTTATAATTTATTTTTATAGCATAGAAATGTTTATATTGTATAATTATGCTGATCATGAGTCATTTGAAAAAAAGGTTTAAAGTAAGTGATGTATTTGTGATTAATATAACAGCTGAAAGACGGTCAGTTAAGGCAGCTTCCATCTGCTCTTGTACTTTACCTCTCATCACTAAAAGCACATGTCCATCAAAGTGTCTTAATGTGACGGTGGAGTTGTGTTTCCGCTTTGACTGTGCATGTTGGCAGACCTCACCGTTTTGACAGAAATGTTCTCTCCAATGACTCAGATAAAACATGAAGCGCCTAGCAATTTATCTGAAAAATATGGTCAATTTTGAAACATGGTTATTAAATGTGCGGTTGTTGGATATGAAGCAAATATCCAATCCCATATTCAATAATATTCAAACACAATTTTAACATATCAAATCAGTGTGTGGAATGGTCTGATTAAACACAACTGAAAATATCTGATTCATTGGAGACCTGACCAATCAGCACACATGTTAGGGGTCATCTGTGGGGTCAGCAAATTGATCTCACTCTATCTGAGGTCACCTACCAGTGACTAGGGCCTCAGAGATGGCTGTTTCATTGTGGGGTGGGTGAGGGGGGGACCCTGTGATGTGATTTCTATGTCAGGCTGGGGATTGTAAATGGGACAGAATGGCCATTGATGTCTGGCAGAAACAGATTCCTGTTGTCCAACCCTAGGACAAGGGAGGACTTTCTGAAAGGCAGTGTAATGCATTGTAACTTTGTGTTCAGCACTAATGTGAAGCTCTTGCCTCTTTACTAATGGAGCACCATGTTCTGTCCCCAACCTGTCGCCCCCTGGTGTTTGTTTCCCTCTATTTTTTGTGATTTTTTTTATTTATTTTTTTATATTTGAACCCCCTTCAGGCGAAGAAGCCTCTTTGCCTTCCTTACCCTTCTGCCATCCTGCCTTTGGACTGACTATCTTTTGGCTTTTTATATTAATCCTTGGTAAGTAAGCAACTACTGGCCAAAACACTGCACTTCAGGGGCATGTCGTAGCAGAGCCACAGCCCACAGAATTGAGACACTGAATAAGTCTGGTGTTTTTCCTGTATGTTTCTCCTCTACCCAATATACACATGACAATTTATTGACATTGACTATATACATTTAATTTTGTCTTCTTAAAATTGGGTAGGTAGGTAATTGATTTGTTTCCATTGTTACCAATTTTCCAAAATCGGTGCAGAGGTAATGGAATGCTGGCTCTGGGATTTCTGGTTGTCTGTCATTTAATTTGCATCAAATAATTTATACAACTTTTTAAAAATTTAAATCCCTTAGTACACTGAAATTTGTTGTCATTCAGGTTTTGGAAGTCATTGATGGGAAACGAAAAAGACTAACACCAGACTTTCATCATTTTAATTACTAATTTTACTTGTTTTTATGTTTCACATTGTACCACTTTGCTGTGTCTGTCTGACTGCTACATGTATGTCCACTAACTTGTTGTATATAGCATGATGCTAAGTCCTAACCCTGATTGCTGCATGCTGTCTCTTTGCCTAAACACAAAATAACAGAGCTTCAGAACTGTGGTTATTCTAGTTTATTTACTTGTGCATGTTTCTGATTAATTCCTTGATAAATAAAGCTTAGACCTTGTAACAAGTTCACAGTGAGCACACATTTATTCAGATCAATCAGTTCTTACTATTTATATAGGCTACTGTTTATTCAGTTGCATGCCTATCACTGCATGGTACACATGTATGGGGCTGGCATTGTCTGTAGCACAAACACAACAATAGTAAAACATTGAATAACACTCGATATTTTAAAAGCATTGTCTAACAAACATGTTACACAAGAATACATACCGTACATGATCTTATGTTACAACTGACATTGTTTAAAGGTGATGTTGCTTTGTTGAAGCTAAAATAAATCATGTGCACATTTTACATATATAAGACACTGTATATTATCAGTCGACATACGAATTTTACTGTAGCAACTACGGCCAACATAAGGACTTTATTCTATATTTTATAGGAGCAAGACAGCTCTAAAGAAACGGAAGTTAACAAGGTAACACCACTAAAACTGTCTTAATGTTGTGCTTCTATTTGTGCTTTTTGTTTTTTATTTTTGCATTCACTGCGTTTAATGTCCGCTGTTTCACTAAAAACTGCCTTTGAAAAGAAACATTCATAATGAATTAACTGAACCAAACCAGCTGAATTACTATACACTTAGAGTGACTCAGACAGTTACACTTTCTGAAGGGCTTGTCCAAATCTACTATCGTAACGCCGTTAGGGGCTCAATTTTATTTCTGTATTTTGGGTCCAGCTTTATTGTATATGATGAATGCACAATTACTACTGTTTTGCACATTGATGTTTGAATATACAAAACATTGTTTTCTCAATTACATTGGAACATGCTTATGTGTTCACAGCCCTGTGCAGCTGGATGACTTTGATGCCTATTTCAAAGACATGTGTAAAGACTCTGCCTACAAGTTCTCTTTGCAGTTTGAGGTATGGTTGTTCAGACAGGTAGCCATCAGGTTATTTGACTTGATTTTGAATGGTCAGTGGTGATTAGTCACTGTGTTGTAGGAACTCAAAAGTGTTGGATTGGACCTTACCCATGATGCCGCTGATTTGCCTGTTAACAGGCCAAAGAACCGCTACACCAACATCCTCCCCTGTAAGATAAAGTGATGTAGCACTTCATTGGCAATAACTTCATCTCAGTTTAATTTCAATTGAGCTCACTTACTGTATTTTTTTTTTCTGCAGATGATTTTAGTCGAGTGAAGCTGATCTCCATGCACAACGATGAAGGTTCAGACTACATAAATGCCAATTACATCCCTGTGAGTTTGCAAATTTTGGTCCTACAATGTATTTAATTCAGTTGTCATGTCAACTGTTTTCCATGTCTCACATTACAGAATTTAAAGCTGTGGTTATAAGTGGTACTATTGTTTATTTTTTTGTAATCCAGGGTTACAAACATGGGAAGGAATACATTGCCACACAGGGTCCATTACCGGAGACCAGAAATGATTTTTGGAAGATGGTCCTGCAGCAGAAATCTCCAATCATAGTCATGCTCACACAGTGCAATGAGAGGCGTAGGGTATGCGTGGTATTTTTAGTCTAAAACTAAGGGCGGTGCAATAAACAGAGATGGTAGACTGAATATTTAGAGATTTCTTTTTTGTGTTTCAGGTTAAATGTGACCACTACTGGCCTTTCACAGATGAACCAGTCATGTATGGAGAAATCAGTGTGGAGATGCTCTCTGAAACTGAGTCGCCTGAGTGGACCATCAGGAAGTTCAGACTGGGATATGTGAGCATCGTTTAAAATGTGATATTTTGATGTATTTACCACTGAGAGGAACTCATGAACACTCTTTGTATCTTCTGCCCCCTGTAGGCAGATGAGAGTCTTGACGTGCTTCATCTGAATTACACGTCGTGGCCAGATCACGGCGTCCCAACAGTTAATGCTATTGAGAGCATCCTGCAGTTTGTCCACATTGTCCGTCAGCAGGCCAACAGGACCAAAGACCCCATTGTTGTCCATTGCAGGTAATAGCTGTATTTTTGACGTTTTAAAAGCAAAATACAGTGGTAATGTAATTTGTTTGTGGTCAGTCAACATCACTTACCTCTAAGCAGGAAATACTGTTCAGTCAGATAATGTAATCCATTAAACATGAGTGTCCCATAAATCATAATTAATAAACCTAAGTAATTGGTTGAGAGCTCTCTGTCTGAAGTGTGTCTGCTGTCTGCTCTTGTGTTTAGTGCTGGAGTCGGAAGGACTGGAACATTTATCGCACTGGACCGCCTGATGCAGCATATCCGCGAGCACGAGTTTGTGGACATCCTGGGGATGGTCTCTGACATGAGATCACACCGCTTGTCCATGGTGCAGACTGAAGTAAGGGCTCAAATACGGCAGCTGAATCATAACATGATGTAACCTGGGGGATATTCCATCAAAGTGGCTTGAAGGGACAGTCCGGAATTTTGGATATCGGACCTCATTTCCTAGTGAGCCAGAGTGTTAGAGACGTGTGGAGACACTTTTTAAAATATTCCATCCAGTCCTTGTATTTGCAGAGGTCGCTGATGTTAGGCTAGCGCGTGTCAATGGCCATAGTTAGCCTGCCACTAAAAACAGCCTTACCCACTCCACAAAACACCCAGAGCAAAACTATTATAACACCAGACTGTCAATGTAAATGTCTGTGTTGATAGAATAATGTTTGAAATAAAACTAACCTTGCATCACATGAATCGTCACATGTTGAGGGACTATTTCAGCAGCAGCGGAATTTTACTTTGCCAGTAAGATAGGTTCTAGGTGATATCAGTTCGCTCCTGCCAAGCTTTTTATCAAGAAGTACAATTCACTGCTGCTGCTCAGACATAAATCCTTCAAATGCAAGGTTGGTTTTACTTCTAAAATTATTCTATTGACACAGACATTTACATCGACAGTCTGGTGTAATAACAGATTTGCTTCGGGTGTTTTGTGGAGTGGGTAAAACTGTTTTTAGTGGCAGGCTAACTATGGCCATTGACATGCACTAGCCTAGCACCAGTGACCTCTGCAAATACAAGAACTGGATGGAATATTTAAAAAAGTGTCTCCACACATCTCCAACACTCTGGCTAACTAGGCAATGAGGTCCTATGTCAAAAATTCTGGTTTGTCCCTTTAACAAATCCAGGCTTAACCTGAAATCCTGAGCTGAACCGAGCTCCATCTTTCACTTAAGCCTCAAGTCGTTGCGTGACGGAAATCAGCTTGGGTCTAACCAAAGCTAATTCAGGCCTGAAGTTTAAGCTGTGCTTTCTGCACACTCTTGGTGACTCTGGGAAGGCCAGAGCAATGGAGTAACAACATCACGCAAAATGGGCCAAAAATGTGAATGTTTTTTTATGATCTGACTAAATGAGAGAGGAGCCACACAATGTACCGCAGAGTTTGATTTGGGCCACGGAACTTTTCCGATCATTATGATCTGAGGAGCAAGAGGAAAGACACGGTGACTCCTCCTCTCCTGTTCACCCCCCCCTCCTCTCCTGGTCACTCCACAGGAGAGAGGAGGCTGGCTGCAGAGTGTGGACTCTGGAGCCTGGAGAATAAAGTTGCCTGACCCCTTCCTGATGCGTGGTAGTACGTGTGGAGCTTAAGTTCTGCTGTGTGTAAAAGTGAAGCTGTAACGGACCTCTTCACGTGTAGCCTAACAAGAAACGATAAAATCCGCGCAAAGCTGTTTGCAGTTTGACAGGGAGAGAGAGACAGATGTGATGAAGGAGTACATAGCCAGAACCCACTGAAAACCAGTTCATCCTCAGAGTCTAAACCAGCGTTTGTCTGCTCATACAAGATGCACTGCCCGTCACAACAGCCACATGTGCAAGATCATTTGAATGAAATAATGGCCATAAGATTTTATATGGTATGTGCCTTTTTGATGAGTGCAGTGTCCACACACAGGAGCATATGGACTGTAAAATTCTCAAGCGACACATGACTATAAAACTCACTTTTTCAACTGTATCAGACAGTGGCAAATGTTCTGACACGTGTGTGTGTGTGCGTGCATGTGCTGAAACGTTTGACTTAACTGTTTTTTTAGAATGGTAGTTAGTTAGCCTGGTCATGACCAGATTTGTTTCCAGGTGCTTGTTACCTCGGCAACTCAGTGCCACTTGTGGTTAGTCACCTCGGTGGAACGGAAATGAGGCTTTGATAAACTGGACTGGCCAAAAAAGCCAGGCTTTTGGTTCGTGGAATACCCCTCTGAGTGAGAAGTTTGACCAAGATTTATATTGGTTTAATCTTGTCTTATAGGAGCAGTATGTGTTCATCCATCAGTGCGTTTTGCTAATGTGGCAGAAAAAGAAACAGTCCATCACTTCTGACGTTATCTATGAGAACGCAAGCAAGACATAATGATGGCCTCTCACACATGTAAGTAAAACATTGCACTATATAATTTGTTTTTATTTACAACCATAAAGGACATTGTTTGTGGTGCATGAGCATGTGTACAAATGAGGTGGAAAAGCGCTAAATGTTTGCCATTTACTATATAATCAAACTTTATTAAAAATACTGACAGGTAACATAATAAACATTCCTCTTAATGTGTAGATGAGGTCCAAAAACCTTGACCCATTTTTCACTGAACCCACTCTGAATCCTTCTTGGTGTCTGCTCCATATCACTGCTTAGGTCATCGACTCTTGGGCTAAAAGTCAAAGTTATAATTGATTGGAACATCATAATCGGTTTACTTTAAAATAAAAAAATATCCTACTTTAAATATAATCATTGTCTTCTACTAGGCATCGAATGATATTGAAATTTGGTGTCATGATTATTATGGCCAAAATAACTGTGATTATTTAGTTACTAACAGTTTAAACATATTATGGATATGAATAATTATTATTTTAATGTTATGACTCTAGCAGAAATCAGGAGGATAAGTAGAATTTTCAGCACATTTTGGTGATAAAATGGTTATCTTTGTTGCTGATTTATCTAAATTATATAAAATGCCCCATGAACGATTATTGCCTACCATTTTTATCTTATTTTGTCCCATCTTTATCCTCTTAAGATTTTTTTTGTAGTATTAGTCCTTGTTATGGACTTGCTCTAGATTACCAAAGCACATTCCGAGTTCATGAATTTTGTTCACGGACAATGGCAACGTTTTTTTCTAATTGTGATTGTTCTTTGTAACTTTAAATTATTAGACCAACTTTTCATGATGCTCTTTTTGTTTTTGTCTATCTTATAGGTTGCCCAACTTCCTGTGCTTCAGGCATCCATTCTGTGCAGAAGAAGAATTGCTTCATAAAAAACAAAACAGCAGAAAATTCCAGAAATGTATTTAAAATCTGTTTTATGTTGAATTGATGTTACCGCATGGATATGGAGCTTTGCCTTATGAAGCCTTCACTGATCGCCCAACATGTTGAACACCAGCCCCTCTCAACTGTGGCACAGCTCTGGGTGTCTCCTCCGTCTGTACTCGTTCAGAAAACTTGAAGTGACAAACATTTGGAGAAGAGTCAGCTTTCTGCTTTTCTTGGGGGTTTTTTTGTTTTTTTTGTTGTTTGTTTTTTATCTCAGGAGACGTTGGAAAACCAGCTAGCACACTGGCCCGTCAAGCATCAACTCTACCCTCTTTTTTGACTTCTGCTTATCTGGTACAGACACCATGCAGCATTCCCAACACGGTGGCCAATATGCTACACTGCCACCCTATAAGGGACTTAAATGCCAACTATAGTGTTCAGAACTTGCTATTGAACTGCCACAACTGCTGCAATGGTAAAATCCAGCAAACAAGTGTTCAGTGAAGAACCACACTGTCCAGAGCACAATAATTGTGGCACCTTTTAGTTTAACACAAAGCAAGATTTGGTTGACAACGACAGATGTTTGGTTTGTCAAAATGCTGCTTTTTCATTTTTTCATTCTACTTCAAAGTCTGAATGTTTGCTTGGTCTGCACAAGGAAGCTGAGACAATAGACTGAAACTGAGCATGTGCTGTTATAGGCCAGTGTAGACCATAGATACTTTAAGGTAGTTTCACTGAGCAGAAGAGACTGTCTGATTTTCAGACTGAAGAAGGGAAAAGTTTGTGCTGCTGTTATGACTGTCAAATGCTGCACAAACATTTGTTTGGAAAAGAAAGAATACTTCAATTTCAAAAGAGAAATTGATAAATCTACCACTGAAGGACTGAACATAGACTGAGGTGTATCAAAAAAGGCTGGGCAATTCCCCTATTAACAGTAAATATTCAGGACTCTCAAATATTCTCTGCTTTTGTTACAGAACCACAGTTAGTCAAAGGTTGTAATGGGCTTACTATTGCACTTTACATCACATCAAACGAATGTAAACAAATATGGAAATTAAATAACATTCATCAATTGGATATTCATTAAACATGATAATTGGTACAACCTGCAAAACGGTTAGAAAAAACATAGTAGTGCCTCAAAGTAATTCAAGTAAATAAATAGGATGTAAATTTGATGTTTAAATATTGATTTTATTTCGAGAAAGCTTATATGATGTGCCTCTAATATTTATGAAAGAAAAAAGTCAAGTGGCTAAAATACATTTGAGGTTGTGTAAGAAAAGCAGTGGATTTTGAAAGAAATGCTGTAACCCTTTGTGTATTGATGGCGCCACCTGTGGATAAATAGCAGTACTGCATCTGATTGGCATGGGTCTGGCTTATATCCGTCTTGAACTCCACTGCAAAGTCAGTGGCTCATGGACAATTTCTTGTATTCTTTTTTATCACTACTCCAGGTTTCATGTGCAACAATCGAATGTCAGTGAGCAGACAGTAGTTGACCTGATTAAAGGTTACAGGATGTAGCATTACAGAGTGTCCTCCATAAACAAGCTGATTTTTATTACTGCTTTTAGCTTTTTTAAATGTGCCAATGCAATGCCCTTATTTTTACCAGAGTCATGTCAAAACCCAACTCAGACCCATATATGGTGTATACTTGAATTTTGTTTGGAATTATATTTTAACATTTATTTTCTGATTAGATATCTGATTAGATTATATCTGGTTCAATTTGTGGGGCCAAAATGTATCAAAATGTAAAACTTTTTTTTTTCTTTTTACCATTCCAGTATTTTATCATCCAGCAAGGTTAATTTGCGTCTTAAAAGCTGTTGTTTGTCAGTGTTCACATGATGTGGCCTTTGTTCCCTTTGGTTGAATCACCTTTCACTTTGAAATATCACATGTACTGTACATATACTGCTATTCTACTACTATTCAGTTTCTACTGATCATTGCGTATCATCCTTCAGTAATTCTTGTGGAATGACTTGCTTTTAGATATTTTTATTTGTTGTGTATGTGAATCATTACCTGAGCCAAGCTTTTGGTTATTTTGACTCTGGTGTTACTGGACTTATCTGTAGATGAAGAAATGCACTTTGTTACAACTGTTGACGAAACACAAGCTGACAAAAATTGACAGATCTAAAATATTAGCACTGCACATTCGTTACATTACTTTGTCTTGCTTCATGTGTGTCAGTCAAACATGTCCGTCTTATTGGTGCCATTCTTGTGCATTTTTGTGTCACTTAAAACTCGACGGATGATCTGGACTTATTGTCGCAAAGTTTAGATGTGCGTGTGTGTGTGTGTGTTTAACTAAATAAAATGTTGCAATTACTTTGAACGAACTAGTCATGTCTTTTGAACATTCACATTACATCATATTTAGCCTAACAAGGTTATGACAAGGGTGAGGAAAGCAGAGACAGATTTTAGGGTGCATTATACATTACAACAAAGACATTTAAGATCACTGGGCTGCGTGGAAGAGGGCGTTTTATTTAACGCATTTTACACAAATGACAGCAGAGGGCGCAAAGATCCTTATTCATTCACTGAGAGAAGCGGTCCCCCAATAGAAATAAGACTTGTCACAATTTTTGTATATTATATTATTTTGAATTTATCAGTGTAGAATATCTAATTTAGACTGTATATATTATAATGGAATGGGACAAATCTATTTCTTAGTCCGATTAAAGTAATAAATGTATTTATTATGATTAATTTATTGTTTATTTGAATAGGGACAAATACAACAAACAGACAACAATTCAGTTCCCAAATGTAATTTTGAACTGTTCACTAAAAAGCAATGTGATGTTTAAAAAAAAACTAACAAAACTATAAATACAGTGGATTTGTCAAAATATAGCACATATACAAACTCACGCACTCACATTTCACTCTCTCTCCGTCTGTCTCTCTTTCACACATACAGTTTATATATTTCTATAATAAATCAAATTAAATGGTGGCACAAACATGAAAAATGCTGCTCCAGTTGACTGTGTTCAGATCAGCCTCCTAAATGGGCGGGTCCACTGATCATGTCTGCGAGTCAGCACACACACACACACACGCACACGCACACACACACACACGCACACACACGCGCGCGCACACACACACGCACACACGCACGCGCGCGCGCGCGCGCACACACACACACACACACACACGCACAGAGGTTGTCTCAGCGCTGTTTCTCCACGCGCTGTTCAAAGTCAAGTCTAGCGTAAAGGGAACTACAGCTCTCAGCCCCAACTTCAGCAACCCTGGGCACCTTGTCTCCGGTCGTATGGGAGCAACAGTACCATTTGGAGCAGGAAATACGCGTGCCATGTGGTAGCAGTCTGACGCCGCGTTTCATGGATTATTTCATAAAGCTCACACCTGCAGGTAAGCCCTTTTTAATTGCTTTGCGACAGACTTGACGTTTCTTACAGTATTTGATGAAATATAAGTGTTGCGTGTATCAGGTCATTCTTAATAGACAGGCTGCACAGTGTATTGTTCATCATAGCGCAGCCGATGTAAATTCAAGCCGTGGCAACTTGATCTGTCCTTGTGCTTTGCGGAGAAGCGGTAGCCTGGATGAAAGCAGAGATCCCAGACTGCACGAGGTTTTAAAATATAGGCTACCTGTCCTTTTAGTTTAGTTTAGCCACCATGAATTTACTGTTTATTTTGTTTCAGTGGTTTGTGAACAGCAAATGTTACATTTAAATATAGTCCTAATAAAATAATTTAAATTCAGCCTTAAATCACACGGTCTTCTGGTGCCATATTTGATTAAGCATGCTTATTTTAACCTTATGGTTATATCAATATATGAACACATGGTCAATAGTTTTAGTATTGCTCTAAGTGTGAACTTTTTTTTTATGATGGAAAAATGTTTGTGTAATTAAAAAAACAAAACAAAAAAAAACTTGTGTCCAGCTGAGGTTTACCAATAGACTGTGGGTCCACCGGTGGTCTCTGTGTGTAGGTGTGTCCCCGCCCCTCGTTACGCGGGGATCTTTGTTTGGTGAGTCTGAATGAACGAGGCGCTGTTGCCAGGGATGAGATAGCGCGTGTACGTATTGTTCCGCCGGGGTGAGCGGGAGGTCTGCTTTACGGTGGTGTTTTATCGCAGCCATTCTAAACAGTCAGCGACTCTTATCTCATCCGCACTGTTTAAGCTTTTGAGCAATGGTCAATGTTATCCAGGACGCGCGCCCATTCAAACCACTGGTCTTAGGAGCAGGTGTACACTGTGTTCCTGCGGATAATAATAGGCCAGAGTTCTCATTAGGCCCTCCTTCTGTAATTGGTGTTATGAACAGGCCAGGTCTCAGGTGGCGGCTCTCCTCATCACCTCCAGAATAACACCAGAACAACCCTGCTCCATAGGTTTGATTCAAGTCTCCAAGGAGGCACCATCTCTCTCTCTCTCTCTCTCTCTCTCTCTCTCTCTCTCTCTCTCTCTCTCTCTCTCTCTCTCTCTCTCTCTCTCTCTCTCTCTCTCTCTCTCTCTCTCTCTCTCTCTCTCTCTCTCTCTCTCTCTCTCTCTCTCTCTCTCTCTCTCTCTCTCTCTCTCTCTCTCTCTCTCTCTCTCTCTCTCTCTCTCTCTCTCTCTCTCTCTCTCTCTCTCTCTCTCTCTCTCTCTCTCTCTCTCTCTCTCTCTCTCTCTCTCTCTCTCTCTCTCTCTCTCTCTCTCTCTCTCTCTCTCTCTCCTGATGCTCTTTGCCTTGTTTCTAATCTCTCTCTCATATGGAAGTAGTACTATTTCTTTCTCTGAAGTTGGCCTGAAACTGAATGTGATCTTGTCCTTGGCCTGATACAGCATACTGAGTGCAGGATTTTGTGAAGAGCATGCTTAAAATATCAGTTGCCTGTTATGGTAGAAACAAAAACAATCTTGTAATAAAATATGTTTGCTGATGTAGAGCACTTGAAGGACCTTTGAGCAGGGAGTTGTGTAATTTCAAGTGTTTTTCATTTGTTTGCTGAAGAAACGTATTCTCTCCTTTGGACTGATAAGGAAAGATTAAAGTCCACAGCTGCTCCTGTTTTTCTCATTTTTTGGGGGTATTCATGGGAAATGTCTCTTTGACAGCGTCTTGGGACCTCACACTGGGACTATTTTAGAATCTTTCCCAGCTCAGTTTTCCATGTCCAGTCTTCTTGTACTAAAAATGCACAATGTCCAGAGACATCTGGCGTAATTTTGTCTGATACATTAAACTCATATGACGTTGAGCAACGATTCCTCATTGACAACGCTGGTCACAACCTTGAATATATATATATATAATGACCACCAGAAAGGACATTTGGTGTTGCATTTTGACAAAGTATCCCATGATTTAACATCTTTGATAGCTTCATTAGTTTGCTCTTGATGAATACAATTTCCATCTAAGCCTTTCGCTGTCTGATTGTGGAGTGTGATGAGCTGCTACAGAAAATATTACAAAAACACATCCTGAAAAACACTACATTTCCAATATTACTTAAAACAGCAGCAATAGATAAACTAATAACTTAATCTGCCATTTATCTAATATTAGTCATGGGAGTTACTTGTTCTACCCCGTGGAGCTCAAATCTTATCTTATTACAAAATTATATATCTATATCTATCTAAAATCTAGAGACCGACAGAGACAGAAAGAGCATATATATAGCATACAGAAAAGGTGCAGAAATATTGAGGCCAAAAACAGTAAATCGATATCGATAGTTTGTAGTGACAAAATGAATTTCTTTCAGGATAAATAAAGTATCTATCTGTATGGCGGTATGTGCAGAAGTTACCGTGGTGACACAATGCAGAAATTAGCAAACACTGCCCAAAAAAATTTTAAGATTTAAGATTGTCTGAAAACTCAAGAAAAAATACAAAATGGATTTAAAGAGCACATGTTTTAGGATCCTGTGATTAATATGAATGTGGTCAGATTGTGTTAAAAAAAAGATCAGTCTAAGCCTGAGACAGAGCAGTGTCTATGTTTAGCACCACAGCCCCAGGGAATGTTGATGACATCCTATCATTAGTGATTATTATGACAGACCTATGTTGAAATTTTTACAAGCTGTTTTGGTAGAAAAAATTACTTTTTGGCTTGGACTGCAGGCTTCTCGCTGGTGTTTCCTGTTGATGACACAGTGATGTAACCAAACCTGCCAGGTGTGACTCTGGTGCCTGTGCTGTTATGGAAACAAGAGGTGACACCAGTTTAAACAATTGCAAGGGTCACATTCTGGGAAAAGTGTCACATCATCATTGGATTGTATTTTGTGAAGTGTGAAGTCTATCAGTGAGTTTCAGTCTTGTTAGTATGACTGATCTTTTTTTTTTTTTTTTAATGATATCTGCTTCTTTAATCAATAGTGTTTCTATGATAGGGTCAAAGTTCAGTGGGAGATGGTAAACACTGACTTAATTAAATTATCTTTGGGGGTTTTGATACAGTTGAATTTAGCATCACATTTTCATAGTTAATGCTATTAAAGTTGCATTTAACTTCTGGTGGAGGTTACACTACATGATGTTGCTTTGCCTAGAATATATTCACAGGATTGCAGCCAGACAAGCAGCTAATGTCACCAGGTCAAGTTACAGGTCAGATCTGTGGAGAGGGGTCAGTACTCACAGTAAGAATTTATGGGTTTTTTTATGCATTTTTGACAATAAATCGAGCACAAGCATCTCCATGAGAGAAGCAGGTAGCAGCCCTGCAATCAGAAAAATTACGCAGTGCATCATTTTAAAGAAAAAAAACATTACAGCTCAATGTGTTGCTGAACAATTGAAAGTGAATAGAAAGTCTAAGACATGACATAACAAGGTGCAGATGGAGTTGTAAAGTTCAATCTATAAATCCTGTTAGTGTTTTCCTCACTGCCACCTGTCAATCTCTGGGGCCCCACCCGGGGGCTTCTGTCAGCCTCTGAGGCCCCGCCCACTGCTCTAAATGACTCATTAATTAGTCCTGTAAGCTTGTCAGCCCTGGAAAACATGCAGCCGCAAATCCAGGAGCTGCAGTAATCTTCCAGACATGAAGCCCAGACTGTACCTGTGAGCACAGCAGAGGGGTAACCAGGTAGGTCTTAATGTGCATCATGTTTTAGCAGCTAGACAGTGACTGTTCAATTAATACTTATTTGGTCTATTGTTATTTAGGCATGGGATTAGTCAAATCAACCAAAAAAATGCAGAATTAAAAATATTGGGAAGTACTATGATGACTGCAGTGCATACAGCAAGGTTTTCCAGTACTTCATACCTCAAGAAGTTTGCGTATTATTTCAGTGTTAAATTTGTTGAAAGTACAAACTACAGCTCAGACATGTGATGTTAGATCCAGATTAGAATACCTGTTGATCATTAGCAAAGATGGGTACTTTGTAAATATGTATTTTTTTTTGTAAAAGAGTAATGGTGGTCTATAGTGTCTCTCAGCACAGTTGTGAGGGGACACAGACACAGGTTGGTGGTCCGCAGTATTTCCTCAGCCCTTCACATATACAGAGCACGTGCTCCTGTTGTATGTAGGTTAGTGTCCATGTCCTGGATCCTGTGGGAATCACAGAGGAGAGGGCTGATCACAGATGAATCAATCCAAACCCAGTGTTCTCATTGTGCAGCCTGATTAGAGTTGCTGTGACCTGAGGTCGCTCAATCATCATCAGCACAAATGTCCATAGTGACCCGCTCCTCTCCCCTGCCTGCGGATTAGCCTTCTCTTAGATATGGGATGGTTAAGGCACACAAATCATACGTCATACATTTAGTCACCTTCCTGGAAAAAAACAACTTGTAATGGGAAGTCATCTGGATGCCTTGACCTTGGTATTTTATTTAATTTTTTTGCAAATCTAAAATAGTGCATAGTGCAAATATACTTATATAATTTGAGACAGTGTGTGAAGTAACAACAGTGACAACAGTACCAGTCCTAAATGAGAGGAGAGATTATGTGCGTTGGCAGCATGGATGTAAATCTTCTTACAAATCCTCTTTACTTTCTTCAGCGAGACACAGAAGCCACTGTCTTTGTTTGACACTGTCTGCACCAGCTTTTTCACAGTGCATTATTAGAATGGAACTGCGGGTGGTAAAAATGACAGAGCAGTTCCTCTTTGGTGAGTTAACAACAGTGTATTTGGACATGGGTTAATATTTAAACAGTACTGAGCTTGATAAAACATTAATGCTCTTTTTCATAACAGAGACAGGAAATAATGAATTTATATGATTTCTGCTGTTCTGATGCTTTTTCAATTTTGTTATGTAACTATATTGATGGATTTTTTTTTAGAAGTCGCTCTGTGGCATAGTTTGCTGTTTGTTTGAGATGTCAGATTCAAAACTAGTATGAAAAACATGTCCCCTGTTAGCAGCTAGCTCACTGTATGTGATTGGAGGCTTGTGCTGACGTGGAAATGCTTTACTGCCCCTCGATTGTGGGGTGCACAGGCAGCCGCATGCCATGTGTTGTTGTCATGGCAACCCAATTCATTCTAGGCATAATATACTGTATCAATATCAATAATGATTATTGAGCAGATTTGTCAGAAAGGTCTTCAGTCTCCACAGTCAGTCACAGGCCATGTTTGGATATTGGATACATCTCTGCTGCCATCTCAAAGCATATGAGCTTATAAATGTGTCTTTAACTATGGCATTAGGTCCCCCGATGCTAGAGCCACAGTATATTGGACAATCATCTCAGAAAATATTTGTAAGTCTTTAAGCCTAACCATGGACTATATCAGGCCAAAGCAAGAAGGATCACGATATACTTTTTAGATATTATGACAGGCAAGTAGTGATGATCCAGTGTGGATTTTTTGAGCGATATGTCTAACTGTGAATAAATTAACTGTCAGCTTTTGTCAAACATACAGCCGCATCTGATGCACTGAGGACAAACTGAGAACATAGAGATGGCGGATGTGCAGGAAAGTACTGGTGCAAAATTTGGCTACATTTTCAATGGCTTATACACTCAAAAGTACAAATAACAGGTTGATATTGGCAACCGAAGTATAGTATAATATAACTGTGGTGATGTCTTATGACATTGACTGTCTCTTGGGGACAAACTATAATGTAAGTATAATGTAAGTATGAAGAATGCCTCTGTCAAACTCCTCATGAAGCAGCAGTAGATGTCTACTCTGTGATGGCCAGTGTCAATTCACCATCATGTGAGGAGCACTTGTAAAGAACATACAATAGTGTGGTGTCCAACAGCTGTTTGGCCCCGATAAGTTTGTCTGACATTTAGTGCTTCGCTCTGTCACCGAAATTACACTCACTTTAAAGAGCCTGGGCAAACCTTTCTCACAGATAAAGTCATCAAATCGGAGCATCTGAAGAATACCTGAAGAATAGTTGATGCAGGTCATTTTCGTTATCACAGACTTGAAGTGTTGTATTTAACAATGGTATTTTACTGTAGTATTGTTCGTGCCCGTTGCCATGGCTACAGAGTCGGACGTGAGAGAGTCCCCGGTGAATAAAACATAAGGGAGCGAGGAGTCCTGGGAAAAGCAATCACACACAGTCTTCCTGTACATGCTGCAACTCTGTGTCCTTATTCAGCAAACACAACCCCACTGACTTTTGATCCTGACTATTCACATGTGACTGAAGAGACGTCCAGAGAACAGTTTATTTAATGGTGCAAAGGTTTAATTTAGAAACATTCATTATGTTGTTTTTTGTGTCTGCTAGTGGTAAAGAATTTTGTCTTAATAATCAGACAACCTGTAATTATAATCTTGGAACATTGGTATAGAAGTGTATATATAGTTCAATATTTTTATATATAATTAATATATGTAATGACAACCTCAAGTTTGTGCTTCCGAAGTTTGTTTTTCCAAGTATATAGGAATAAATACAGTATGGCTCATCTATGAAAACATGAATCCAGTTTTGTATATATAGTGTATTGATTGGCCCTAATTTGCTGTCCACTATTGTTTCAGCTGACTGTCACTGAGGCAGGATGAACGGCTATGACACCCCGACCTCCAATGTCTTTGGTTCCTACAGCTCCCAAATCAAGTAAGACTTTACTCATGGGGGTCACATGCTCAGATTGTTTTGTTTATTAGCAACAAGTGGGTCACCGCGGTTCAGGGCTTGAGTAGTAAAATCGTTTGATGCTCTCGGCAGCATTAAGCAGTCCCATTAAATATTGATGCGGTCAGCAGTTAGAATCAAGCCAATGTGTGAAAATATCATGTTTCACAGACACTCAAGCTGCTCTCAGCCATCCTGTTTCCAGAAGACCTCAAAAGGCAAAAGTGACCTCCTCACTGTGACTCTTACAGGCCAAAAATAATTAGAGATGATAATAAAGTTTTGTTTTTTTATAAATACGAGTCTGTTTGTATCGTTTTGTAGTCATTCAACAATCAAGACTAACTACAGATGAAAAATGGCCCCCTTGGCTCGTTCTGGCATATTTACAAAATTGTTAATTAATGTCTCTGAAATATAAAATGTGAAACATGAAAAAACACACTTTTTAGATACAAATGTAAATTGATATAAATGAATCTTATCAAATATCATCATACATTATGCATTTTTACCTTTACAGTCGCAGTACAGCAGCATTCAACGTCTATCTTGAGTTGCATTAAACAAGAAAACTTAAAATCACTTTTTAGCTTCAACCTTGTCTGATGTTTATTTTCTGTTACAGTGGCCATGGCTCATCTCCAGAGCCTTCAAAGTCTAAAGCCAAGTCCAGTGCCAAAGCTCTTTATGGTAAGATTGTCCTCTATTTTGGCCCACATTTGGAACACCCTTACATTGTGTTTGCCCACAGAGTTACACTGGCGTTTCTACTGCCAGGCAGCCCTGTGCATGTTTACACATTCTTTTTCTTACATTTACAGGAAGAGAAGAAATGTATTTCCTTCGCTCATCTGCCAAAAACAAAAAGCGAAGTCAAAGTGAGCAGAGTTAACCGTGTGATTTGTTTGTGCTTTTGCACGGATTTATGGTGGTGTTTAGGCTTTGAAAAATATAAGAAATTAAATGTATGATTGTAGAGGTGATGCTGATTTTCTTTTGGTGTGTTTTATTGCCGTGTGAATTTCTTGGAAACACCATACCCAACTTATGTTTGCTTTTGAACTACAACTATGCCTTTTTTTTTTTTCCAGAACAAAGAAAACACTACACAAAAAATAGCATCAACAGCCTGACGGACACTTCACAGTATCATGTGGAGGTAAGGCATGACTCAATAAAACAATCTTAATAGCTTCTGCTGCATTTGTTGATGTATCTTGTTGTGAATGCTCCCTCCTCAGCACCTGACCACATTTGTTCTGGACCGTAAAGATGGGATGATCACTGTGGACGATGGGATTAGGCGCCTGCGCCTGCTTGATGCCAAAGGCAAAGTGTGGACTCAGGAGATGCTGCTGCAGGTGGAGGACAAGGCCGTGAGCCTCATAGACCTGGAGACCAAGGTCAGAGTGGCTCTATTTTACTAGACTTGTTATGGTAACAAATTTTGGAGTACAATACCTAGTTGAAGAAAATATAGAGAAGTGATAATATTGAAACCACTTTAGGCCACTGACATAATGATGATAAATCAGGATTATCCTCAAAAGTTTTCTGAATGCATAATATGGCTGAATAACACAAACTGCAATGAATAAATAGCAGAATGAAATACTGTAGTAGTTATTTTATTTCTATAATGACACTACATGAATAGGAGTTATTAATAACAGAAAAAATCCCTATTAGTACAAAAAAGTACCACAATAAAGGTTGACCACTAAAATATATTGTTCCATTTGTCATGTATTGAATGATAAGCCGATATAGTAATTATCATGACGGCCCTCTATTTACATTCAAAACAATTCAGTTTAAAGTGCATGTGCTGGTTAGACTACACATTTATTTAAACGTACACCATGTAACTTTTCTGGTGGTCCGCAACTTCTGTGGCGACAAGAAGGTGAGGCAAGGCCATGTTACAGGTACGATCTGTATAGAGAGGACCCAGATTTTATTACAAAACTTGAGTTTTGGTAAAGTTTTGTAATTTTACTTATGTCAACTTTTACTGCACATTGGCAGCAGATGTAACAGAGTAGACATAACTCCATAACTTCTACCCACCACACTGTACACAAGAGCCAAAGATAAAGCTAATTTATACAAGGTAATGTTTTGGAACCGATCCCACCAAACTCAGCAATTAATAATAATAATAATAATAATAACAACAATAATGATAATCATCATCATCATCATCATCATCATCATCATCATCATCATATGCACTTCTTCAAACTTCTCCTGATATTATGTATGAATAGGAGGTTTAGAGGATGATTTATTTTTCAGAATGAGCTGGAAAACTTCCCCATTGGGACGATACAGCACTGTCAGGCTGTAATCAACGCCTGCAGTTATGACTCCATCCTGGCGTTGGTTTGTAAAGAGTCGGGGCAGATCAAACCTGACCTGCACCTTTTCCAGTGCGATGACATCAAGGTAACGAGTATCATTTAGACAAATCTAAACTTAAAGTGCATAGAGTTTGATGGTGTTTCCTTTAGGCAAACCTGATCCATGCAGATATTGAGAGTGCCATCAGTGATGCCAAAGGTGGAAAAGTAAAGAGGAGGCCAGAGACGCTAAAGTGAGTCCTCTTATGTATTTCCATTATTTTAATTTTTCTCTGGAGTGCTTGATATTGGGTGTCTGCATATATCAGAGGCTCTGTAGTTAATGTTGAATAATGTGCCTGTAGAATGATCCTAAAAAGTGATGGGATCATCCCCCCACCTCCTGCTGCCCCTGCCCCCGAGCCCCCTGCTACTGACACTCAGGTGGATGTGAAGAGTCGTGTGGCAGCCTGGTCTGCGTGGACCAGTGAGCAGCAAGACTGTGAGTAGTCATTGCTCACACTTGTTTTAATCTGTTTGGTCTGTATAACAATTGATTTAGCAAAAGCTGAGTGATTATAGCATTAGCCCATCTGAACTTTGACCTGTGCCTACGTCGTTGTGTCCTTGGACAAGACACTTTGCATTGCTTAGGTATGAATGTGATGTGTAAGTGAGGTAAGTGGAGGTTCAATGGTGCTGATGCAGTTGATGAATACTAATACTCATGGTAGCACTTTAATTACAGTTACATGAAAAGATCAGATTTAGTATGCTTTACATGTTCTAATCTGTGTACGTGTTATAACAAAACATTCCTTGGCAGATGAGAAGCAGAGAGTGTACGAGCTGGATGGTTCAGTGGAGATGACAGCAGCTCGTGTCGACAGAGAAGTGGTCAGTTTATTTTGAACTCTATTTGTGCTCTGGCTCTGAGCACTTACTGTGTTGGGTCATCTGGGTTTACAGCACAATAGACCACAGAGGATTTAAGATGATTGGACTCTGAATATTATCAGAGTTTGGAAGCGTTTAAGCTCAAATCTAAAAAAAAAGCAGACTAAATGTTTGATCAGCACGGGGAATAATTAATTTTTGTCTGTTTTATCCTGGAAAATATTAAACATTATATTTCAAAGGTTAACAATGAAGACAAAACTAGCTCTTAATAATTAATAATTTACTTGTCGCCACAGCAAATATTGAACCACCTTTTGGATGACATTGAGTTCTTTGTAACAAAACTGCAAAAGGCAGCAGAAGCTTTCAATGAGCTCTCCAAGAGGAAAAAGTCTAAAAAGGGCAAAAGGAGAAGTCCAGGAGGTAAAGTTAAGTTTTCATTTTAAATTGCATTGTTTTGTTTCTTTGAATAGTGTTTACTGTACATTTTACTTTAATTTATTTAATGGCATCCTATAGAGGGCGTCCTCACTCTGCGCTCCAAGCCTCCGAATGAAGAAGAGTTTGTTGATTGTTTGCAAAAATTCAAACATGCCTTCAATCAGCTGGTGCGGGCCATTGTGCTGTTATTTATATTAAGTTATTTTTATTCAGATGTTTGACTGTAAGTTTCTCCAAAGGGAACACTGAAGGACCAGATTCAAAACCCGAGTGCTGTGGATCTAGTTCACTTCCTGTTCATGCCACTCAAGATGGTCAGCCCCTCTTATTGATTATTTCATTGTATACCTATATTTGGCCTAATAAAGATTTGGTTTATTTGTGTTGCAGGTGATCCAGGCCTCAGGCAGTGTGGATTTGGCTCGTAGCGTCATTGTTCCTCTCCTCACAAAAGAAGCCATTGACTTCCTCCATGCAGCAGGCACAGCAGAGGAGAGACACATGTGGGTGGCACTGGGGGATGGCTGGACCAAGTGCAGGTGGGCTGTGAAGTGAAAGCGTAGTAGTAGCTCAAATGATTGTATTCCATGACTCTGCTGGATGACTCTGTGGAGATGCCTTTTTATAACCAATGTAAATGTGTAAAAATTACATGAGAAATGGATGTTTTTCTCTTCCCGCCAGGTTGGAGTGGCCCAAAGATCACTATTTCCCTCCTTGTGTTCTGAAGTTTCGTGATGGTTGGGAACCTCCAGCTATTCCCATGGTCCCCCCCTCACGTGAACAGGAGCTGGCACATTTGGCCGAGAGCCTGGCGAATGCTGACATCCAGAGGAATGAGGAGCTGAAGCTTCGACTGGCCCAAGAGGTGAGATATTGTTAATCACTTGCCATGACTCCAATCTGCCTACCCTCACTACAACTGTGTGCATCTGGTCTCGTAGCATACAGCGCTGCAGAGGTTTCCTCCTGGAGACGGGTATGTCAACACCGCATACAAACGCATGCAGGCTTTGGACCCCAACATGGCCGTGGCCACTTTTAGGCAAGCTGTCACCCGCTGTGTCGACCGGTAACTTGAGGTCAAAAATCAAAGCCCTGGAGAACTGCTCCCCTTTTGCATTTTAAACGAATTTCTTTCCCTGGATCCTCTTGAAGTGTTTCCTTTTTCTAAAATACTTAACCTGACCTGACTTCTATTCTCTGTGGATCTGGCTCTATTCTTTCATGTGTTTGATTTGTTTTCCTATTCAAGCACGGTTAAAACATCTGGACACTTCTCCATGGCTCTTAGTTAAAAATAAATTATTTACTGAGTTCAAGAGAGGTACATATATACTAGTTTGGGTTACTTAATCTGTTATCATGACAGTTTTTGTTTGTTGTCAGGGGGTATGAGGCTGATGACAGAGGTCAAAATAAGCTGATCGCCAAATCAAAATATGACTTTGTTGCAAGGAATAATACAGAACTGTCAGTGTTGAAGGATGAAGTCTTAGAGGTAAATAAAAGATCCTATTGTTGTTGAACATGACAAATGTGTTATTCATTTTATAATGTTTGTGGTAGGTTCTTGATGACAGAAAGCAGTGGTGGAAAGTCCGTAATGGTTGTGGGGCATGTGGTTATGTGCCAAACAACATCCTAGAGCTCACCAAAGCAGTGGACATAACAGGTAGAGGAGAGCCCGTCTACAGCCACACTATCCAGGTATGGGACCCTAAACAATAGTACATGTTTTTTATCAAATACTCATCAATCATTATCTCATGTCCATTCTCCTTAAGCTTATGATGCCAAAGAAGGAGTTTGAGTTGTTCAAGGTAAAGAAAGGAAATGGTCTCTAGTGAGGACTAGTTTAGTAATGCTATTTTTGTGTGTGTTTTTCTGTGCCTTATTCTATGCTTAATTAACCTGTAAGCTGTTGTAATGAGTTTGCAGTGCCACCAAATTCTAAATGTTTTGTTGTATCATATAATTTTATATTTTTTGTTTCTTTGTACATTGGCAGCAATTATTGGGCGAATTGAATGAGGTAAACCAGTGTGTTTTAGACAATGACTGTAGTTTAATGATGATAATCTCTAGTGTGTAAAGAAGGAAAGGGGGAAAAAAAACATGTTGACGCATCTACTAAGCTTATGTAGCTAGGGTGCATTCATAGCCTAATGTATATTTGGTCCTATTCTAGTCCTGGTTTAGTTTTAGTTCTAGTCTGAGTTTGGTCTGAGTTCGAGTTTAGTCCTGGTTTTGATGTGGTGATTGTCCTTGGCCTGCTCATATATGAATAAGACTAAAACAGTGTACATTATTAGTGTAAAATCCAATAAAAAGTACTCTGAAAAAGGAAAAAAGAATAATACTGTATACTTGAAGATGCATATTTGTTATGAGTAGTGCTATTCAAAGGTTTGACTGACAGTATAGCTGGTGGTTGGTGATTTGACTTTACCTGTTGGATTTCAGAAGCAGTCCACCAGACCAGAGCACTCTAAACCAGTGGTGACTCCAATGCCCCCGACACCCACGTCCCCGATGTCTCCTGTGTCCCCACCCCCTCCTGCCCCTGCTGGCCTGCCCACTCCACCTCTGCCCCCTCCCACCGGTGAGACCCCCAAACCCAGCAGCTGCAGCAGCACTGTGAGTCGCCACAACAGCACCACGTCCAGCGAGGGAAATGTTGCCATGAGGGAGCACAGCCAGGCACAACCAGCCATACCTGCAAACAGTGAGTGCTTCTGTAAAGGACACTAGAAACTTTTACACTGGGGTAAACCATAACAATGTTCAGAAACAAATGGAACATAGAAAAAAAATATGAATTTACAATTACTGAATATGTTCTGCATTTTGCGTGTAAAGATCAATGATTATGAACAGAAGGATTTACTTTTAAAATTCAAATTTTATGTAGGCTAAATCATTTATAACCCAGCAGCATCCATCCATCCATCCATTTTCGTCCGCTTATCCGGGGCCGGGTCGCGGGGGGAGCAGCCTAAGCAGGGACTCCCAGACTTCCTTCACCCCAGACACGTCCTCCAGCTCCTCCGGGGGACCCCGAGGCGTTCCCAGGCCAGCCGAGAGACATAGTCCCTCCAGCGTGTCCTGGGTCTTCCCCGGGGCCTCCTCCCGGCGGGACATGCCCGGAACACCTCCCGAGGGAGGCGCCCAGGAGGCATCCGGAACAGATGCCCGAGCCACCTCAACTGGCTCCTCTCGACGTGGAGGAGCAGCGGCTCTACTCCGAGCTCCTCCCGTGTGACTGAGCTCCTCACCCTATCTCTAAGGGAGCGCCCAGCCACCCTGCGGAGGAAACTCATTTCGAGCGCTTGTATCCGCGATCTCGTCCTTTCGGTCACTACCCAGAGCTCATGACCATAGGTGAGAGTAGGAACGAAGACTGACCGGTAAATCGAGAGCTTCGCCTTTCGACTCAGCTCCCTCTTCACCACAACGGTCCGATACAGCGACCGCATCACTGCCGAAGCTGCACCGATCCGCCTGTCAATCTCACGTTCCGTCCTTCCCTCACTCGTGAACAAGACCCCGAGATACTTGAACTCCTCCACTTGAGGCAAAGACTCTCCACCCACCCGGAGAGGGCAAGCCACCTTTTTCCGGTCGAGAACCATGGCCTCGGACTTGGAAGAGCTGATCTTCATCCCAGCCGCTTCACACTCGGCTGCAAACCGCCCCAGTGCACATTGCAGGTCCTGGTTCGATGAAGCCAACAGGACAACATCGTCCGCAAACAGCAGAGATGAAATCCTGTGGTCCCCAAACCGGACCCCCTCCGGCCCCTGACTGCGCCTAGAAATTCTGTCCATAAATACAATGAACAGAACCGGTGACAAAGGGCAGCCCTGGCGGAGTCCAACATGCACCGGGAACAGGTCTGACTTACTGCCGGCAATGCGAACACAGCTCCTGCTCCGGTCATACAGGGACCGGACAGCCCTTAGCAAAGGGCCCCGGACCCCATACTCCCAGAGCACCCCCCACAGGACACCACGAGGGACACGGTCGAAATGCCTTCTCCAGATCCACAAAACACATGTGGACTGGTTGGGCAAACTCCCATGAACCCTCGAGCACCCTATGGAGAGTGTAGAGCTGGTCCAGTGTTCCACGGCCAGGACGAAAACCACACTGCTCCTCCTGAATCCGAGGTTCGACTATCGGCCGGATTCTCCTCTCCAGTACCCTGGCATAGACCTTACCGGGAAGGCTGAGAAGTGTGATCCCCCTATAGTTGGAACACACCCTCCGGTCCCCCTTCTTATACAGAGGGACCACCACCCCGGTTTGCCAGTCCAGAGGTACTGTCCCCGACCGCCACGCGATGTTGAAGAGGCGTGTCAGCCAAGACAGCCCCACAACATCCAGAGACTTTAAGGTACTCAGGACGGATCTCATCCAACCCCGGAGCCTTGCCACCAAGGAGCTTGCCAACCACCTCAGTGACTTCGGCCAGGGTGATGGATGAGTCCACCTCCGAGTCCCCAGCCTCGGCCTCCTCCTCCTCGGAGGACGTGACGGTGGGATTGAGGAGATCCTCAAAGTATTCCTTCCACCGCCGGACAACGTCCCCAGTCGAGGTCAACAGCTCTCCCCCCGCACTGTAAACAGTGTTGGTGAAGAACTGCTTCCCCCTCCTGAGGCGCCGGACGGTTTGCCAGAATCTCTTTGAGGCCGTCCGATAGTCCTTCTCCATGGCCTCCCCGAACTCCTCCCAGCTCCGAGTTTTTGCCTCCGCGACCACACGGGCTGCAGCACGCTTGGCCCGCCGGTACCCGTCAGCTGCCTTCAGGAGTCCCCCGAGCCAGCAAGGCCCGATAGGACTCCTTCTTCAGCTTGACAGCATCCCTTACTTCCGGTGTCCACCACCGGGTTCTGGGGTTGCCGCCGCGACAGGCACCACAGACCTTACGCCCACAGCTCCGAGCAGCTGCATTGACAATAGAGGCCGAGAATGAAGCCCACTCGGACTCCATATCTCCAGCCTCCCCCGGAATCCGGGAGAAGTCCTCCCGGAGGTGCGAGTTGAAGGTCCCTCTGACAGAGGGCTCCGCCAGACGTTCCCAACAGACCCTCACTACACGCTTGGGCCTGCCAGGTCTTTCCGGCTTCCTCCTCCGCCAGCGAACCCAACTCACAACCAGGTGGTGATCAGTTGACAGCTCAGCCCCTCTCTTCACCCGAGTGTCCAAGACACGCGGCCGGAGATCAGATGACACGACGACAAAGTCGATCATCGACCTCCGGCCTAGGGTGTCCTGGTGCCACGTGCACTTATGGACACCCTTGTGCTCGAACATGGTGTTCGTTATGGACAAACTGTGACTAGCACAGAAGTCCAATAACAAAACACCACTCGGGTTCAGATCGGGGAGGCCGTTCCTCCCAATCACCCCTCTCCAAGTGTCACTGTCGTTGCCCACGTGGGCGTTGAAGTCCCCCAGGAGAACAACGGAGTCCCCGGTCGGTGCACTGTCTAGTACCCCTCCCAAGGACTCCAAGAAGGCCGGGTACTCTGCACTGCTGTTCGGCCCGTAGGCCGACACCACAGTGAGAGACCTGTCCCCGACCCGAAGGCGCAGGGACGCGACCCTCTCGTTCACCGGGGTGAACTCCAACACACAGCGACTGAGCTGTGGGGCAATGAGCAGGCCCACACCAGCCCGCCGCCGCTCCCCGCGGCCAACGCCAGAGAAATGGAGAGTCCAGCCCCTCTCAAGGAGTTGGGTTCCAGAGCCCAAACTGTGCGTGGAGGTGAGGCCGACTATATCTAGTCGGTAACGCTCAACCTCCCGCACAAGCTCAGGCTCCTTCCCCCCAGCGAGGTGACATTCCATGTCCCCAGAGCTAGTCTCCATGTCCGGAGATCCGGTCGCCGAGGCCCCCGCCGTCGACTGCTGCCCAGATCTCTCTGCACCGGCCCCATATGGATCCTCCTGCGGGTGGTGGGCCCACGTGAGGACGGCCCCACGTCGCTCCTTCGGGCTGAGCCCGGCCGAGCCCCGTGGGGGGAGGCTCGGCCACCAGGCGCTCGCTGGCGAGCACCCACCCCAGGCCTGGCTCCAGGGTGAGGCCCCGGTGACGCCAATCCGGGCGACGTAACTGGCCTTGCTCGTACACTCATCATAGGGGCTTCTGAACCGTTCTTCGTCTGACCCGTCCCCCCGGACCTGTTTGCCTTGGGTGACCCTACCAGGGGCATGAAGCCCCCGACAACATAGCTCCCGGGATCATTCGGGCACTCAAACCCCTCCACCACGATAAGGTGACGGTTCAAGGAGGAGACCCAGCATATATATATATATTTTTTTATTGACATAGTGACCCAGCATATATATATATATTTTTTTATTGACATAGTGCTGGGCATAAGAATAAATTTTGGATATCATTAATATAATTCAGTGTCTATGTTCACAGGTACACACACACCAAACACAAAAAAACAGATCATTACCATAATTATAATTTCTGTAGTTCAGAGTTATCTAAGTAAAGTCAAATTATTGGTTATTTGAATATTCTAGTAATGCAGTTTTTACTGTCCATGTCTATGTACCCACTGATGGTTTTCCTTCTCTTTTCAGGGAGGAAATCCAACATGGAGGAGGTGCAGGATGAGCTCATGCACAGACTGACTTTGGGACGAAGCGCACAGAAGAAGTTTCAGGTGCCGTGCCGAGGCAACAGCCAGCAGACTGTCAACATCACATATGAGTCCTCTCCAGACGACGTGCGGAGCTGGCTCGAGACCAAAGGCTTCAGCCCTGTGTGAGTCAGCCCTCAACCAGATGTACCTTTACAGTTTTGTCTGGTATTTAGTGGTATGAAACTATATAAACTATAAACATGTGGATCGTTATCTAACATTTTGTTGATTGTAAATTGCAACACTATCTGAAATGGCTTAATAATTGAAATGGGTCTATTGACTTCCTGTTCAAAACTGCAAGAATGAGAAGCTCCGCCTCTTCATAGTGGCATTTAATTGAAGCAACCAGTGGATTTTCAGTTAAATTTTTTTACAGTCCAAAAATAACATTTTTTAACTCTTCTTCCAACTTGCGAGTAAGAACAGAGCAGTGGGTGGGTTTAGGTGAAAACATACATTTTATGAACACTCAAGCCTTGAATGCAGAACAAAACATGATTATTCAGACACTCATGAATCAGTCAAACTACAAGCTAATGATAAGGGAACAGCGTTATGGTTAAAAGCTCATAATAGTATATTTTTATATAATATGTCCCTTTTAACTTTTACCTGTAGGACCATCTCAAGCTTGGGAGTCTTGACTGGTGCCCAACTCTTCTCTCTGAACAAAGAGGAGCTGAAGACAGTTTGTCCTGATGATGGAGCTCGAGTCTACAGCCAAGTGATGGTGCAGAAGGCAGCGCTGGAGGTGAGTGTGCATCGCTAAACATACAATATACCATATGTATATTATGGTATGCTATATTAAACTACATAATTATGGAAAATATTACCAAGATAAATCAAATATCTTTACATAAGAGTGGTGAGGTCAGTAGCTTTAGGCCTTTGTCTTCACATTTTCTATCCCCAAACTCTGGCAAGGTCTGGTGTGTGGTGTCTATTTCCCACCTGCAGGTTTTCTTCTGACTCCCCTTTGATCTTCTGAATGTGTTACTACATTTGTTAAGGTATTGTTTCCATAAACTGATTTTCACTGCTTCATGCTGCTGGTCAGATTTTACCTGTTATTGTTAGTGTTATTATTTAAACATCTAACTAGAGATGCACCAATATTGATACTCGTATTGAATATTAGAGCTGATACAAAAAAATTTGCTGAATCGGGTATCGGTTTCATTATATCAATTTAGCAGATATCCTGGTTGTGGATTTAACAGGATGTAATAAGCCCGAATAAGAACTTTTGTTATACAAAGCTGTTCAGTAGTTACTTGAAGAATAAATAACAGTTGCATAACATGATTATATCTCTTGTGTAACAAATTAACTGTGTTTTAAAGAAGGAAATGACACGACAGATACTTAAAAGTGCACTGTGTAACTTGTTGGTCGGGGGTCCGTCACCTACTTGTTTCTACAGATGTTATTTTTCTACCTGAAATGTTCCACAGTATGATAGGTATTATAGGTGTTTTTTATAGCTCAAAAATACCTGCAAAAACAGGCATTCTGACTGTTAATGGGGTTACCTCTCTCTGCAGATCTGGCCTGTAACTTAATCTGGTTTGGTCTGAAGATAGAAAGGTTTAAACCCTACTGTAAAACATTTCAGACAAAACAATAACATCTCCATGAAGAAAAGCATCTGACAGATGAACCACAAGAAAATTTACTCAATTCACCTTTAAAGTCAAAGTAACAGTATCAGTAATGAAAAAACTGAATCGGTGCATCCTTTTATCTAACTGTAAGCATGTCTAATAATTACAATAAAAATAAATATATAAATGCAACACTGATGCCCAAACAGACATCAGCTGTAAGAGTGTAAATCTGGCCATCAGGATGGCGCCTATAATTAATAGTAGCACTGCCCTGCTGTACAGATCCCTCACATCCCAAATTATCCCTTTACCCCTGAGCCACTGCTCCCCCTAGTGTCTAAGATGTAGAGTGTTGCTGGTATCTTGCATGTAGACATCAAGAGGCATACCTGTGTGAGTTTGTTAATATTGAACCAGTACTTCTGCATGTTTTACCCTTAACAGTTAACAGGGTTCACATGCATTGAGCCTACAATGTGTTTGTTGCTGTATTAAAAGAAATTCCAGATCATAATAGAATTTCCCTCCTTAAAATGTAATTTTAGATTTTATGTAACTCTGTAGATCACATCTTTTTGTTTTCTTTAGCGTTATGGACCATGTCAATTTTTTTACCAAAATTGCTGAGTTGGTACTCCTCAACTTGTACAATAGTCATATTCTAAAATGTTCTCCACTTGCCAATTATTTTTTTGTTTTTCATTTTTTGTTGTTACTTTTCAAATCACTTTTCAACTAAAGGCATTAACAGATGATTTGTAAATTACAGAACTGAATTCAGACAGAATGCAGTAGAATTGTGTGAAATTTTCAGTTTTTTTTTTTTTTTTTTTTGAGGTTTGCAGCATATTTTGCCCTAATAGAAAATGATGACCTTAATCCTAAAATAATGAACAGTGATGGTTTTCTATTTCCATATGGGAGGATAATTTCAATCACAGTGTCAAAATGTGGAAATATGTCCGTGGATCGGTCATTTCTTTAATTAGTTTAAACAATTAAAATGGTTTAGCAGAAAAAACTGCCATAAGTTTAGGTTATATGAAACACAAAAAGTTCAAATAAACAAACTTCCTTGTCAGCGGTCCATTATCGTGGCTTTGGTAAGTACAACTGTTTGGAAACATGCGTCACATGCAAAGGCTCGCCTTGCCTTGATGAATGAACAAAATGCCAAGTTTATGAATTAACATAAACAGACTTGATATAATTTCACAATATTCTAATATTTTTACATTGTCCTAGGGTGCATAATTGCACTTTAGTACTCACATAGTATAGTGCTGCTTTGAATTTACCCAGCATGCATCCTGATTCAAACTCCATTCAAGATGTTTTCTGCACATTTCAAACTTAAGCTCCCTGGAATCCATTTGCTCCATTTGTTTGTGTTTAAATTTCATTTCAAGATATAAAAATGCTTTTATTTTTAGAATAAAATGTGCACCACCTCCTTAAAGGTGTTTTCCAACTCCAATTCCTACTAAACTGAAGTAGCTTTTTGTTTGTACATTTGAGAGACCATGGTAAAGTCAGGGAGTGGCTGGTAAAATCTGCTTGCGGTTGGCCTAAAATGCATAAGTTGGCTTGTTAGTGGTTGGTAGAAAACACTTGTCTAAGCCTGTATTTCCTAAAAGGGAGTCTTGTTTTGTGTTGCAGAGGAGCTCTGGTGCTGAGCTGCAGGAGATCATGAGGAGGCGACAGGAAAAGCTAGCGGCCTCCACCTGTGATTCAGGGGTGGAGTCTTTTGATGAAGGCAGCACTCACTGAGAGTCCTCCTTTCAGTTAAGCTTTCATTCACAGCTACAGTTTTGTCTCATGCTGTCCATGTTTAGGCAGCAGAGGATCATGCTCATTTTGTGGAGGTTATGCGGCGCCGACAGGAGCTTCTCAACTCTTCTCCATAAGGACAACGCATGAAGTCTGTTCTAACATGCACCAACTCTGCCTGACCAAGAAGCCTAAAGGACTTGAGGAAACTCAGTGGGTTGTTATTACCATCACCGCTCAGTATTACGGCTACAAGCTCCACTTTGTGCCTAATGTTTTCAATCTGAACAGGCCCTGAAAAGTCCTGTGCGATTTGTATTCATAAAACATATGTCCTGTGTTTAATACTGCAGTGTTTAATACACACAGTTTTATACAAATGTAAAATATCTATTACTGATTAAAAACCTATCTAGTCTTTCTTTTCTCTTCTGTCCTCTATTGACTTAAGTTGGTTAAAAGCTGAGCCAAGGTTGGTTAAAAATAGACGGCTTGTAATAGTCCACACTTTGTCAGTGAGAGATCTCCAGAGAATGCTACTATACCTCTACCTGCAATTGTGAAGGAAACTTGTGTTTTGTGAGTACAATTTGACTGATCACTCAGAATTTTTTTATGAAAAATTCTTAAGGCACAAACTGGAACTGATAGCTGACATGTGAATGTAAAACTGTAACAATTGTTGACTATTGACTATTCTCTTGGGAATATCCAGCTACAAAGTACAGTACAAATAACCACCTATGAAAATTAATATTTATGTATATTTGCTCTTCGGGAAGCAGTATCAAATGAGTTTTAGTGTGATATGAAATGTTAATAAATAAGAATGGATAAGGAATGTCTTTCTGTAAAAGACTTAGCTTAGACAAATTGAGCATTTTTGCACAGGAAAATGACTTCTCTGATCATGTGTGGATCTTAAATTCAAGTCATTGTGCAATCTGAGTGAATGTAGTAGCTGCTCCTGCTTCTTGTATAAGCTCCACCAAAAGCAACCAGTAGCCTCACAGGTGCATGTAATGTTGCTAGCCTGATTTGCCCAAGACGTTAGAATGTGTAAATATTTTTAAGCAGTAGGATTGTATTGCTACACAATTTACACCCAGTCTGCCCATGTCTCAGATTGTGTCATTCTGAAAGTACTTTTTAGATTGGATACAAACCCATTTTGTAGTTTCATTGGTCTAAGAGCATTCATTTTCACTCAGGTGTTTGGGTACTGGCAGTTGCCACAACTGTTTGTCTGGAAGTTTTGATTTTTCCAGGTCTGCAAAAAAAAAAAAAAAAAAAAAAAAAAAAAGGACCACAAACTGTTTGTCCAGTGGAGCAAAAACATGAACTAGGACTGTTTTGATCTGTATCAGTCTCATGAGTCACACAACTGTATAACTGTGTATTTGATTATATAAGTATGTGTTCAGACACAAGAGGTAAACAATAAAAGGAGTTTGATTTCCTGTCACCATTTGTGACAATTGTAATACTGATTTTGATGCACTTAGCCATTTTGTGGTAGCTCAAATATGTGTTTCTATCAATACAGAATAATAATGTTCATGACAGAAATACGACTGTTTAGTAAACCCACAGATGCCAATCAGAATCATTGGTTTGATGATGCATTTGTAGACTTTTCATGGTGCCTTTTCTGTTTGGATCTGCCCATTCTACAATAAATTCTTTACAGAAAAAAAAAAACTCCTTGTCATTTTTTTTGTTTTTTTGTTTAGTGGTGACTGGTGGTATTAAATGAGGCTTGACATGGAAAAAAATGTCCAGCAGATGGCACGGTTAACAAACTTTCTAATTTAATTCAACTGTCATTATTAAAACACACATCCACAAATCTGTTGCTTAAATCAACAATTTTACTAAAAAATAAAGAGTCTATATTATCCATATTCACATCTTCAAACCTGAAGTATGGCTGCATCAACAACACAAACACACTATTAACCAGGTTCCTCAGCCCACAAATAGTGCAAAGATTAAACTGTGAATGTCTCTCCAGCACTCGTAATAGCCTCTGTTCTCCGGAACATGTCGCTCTGTCAAACCTACTGGTAACACAATGGACTAGTACAAATATGAAAAACACCTTGGTCTCTTGGTCTGTAGTTGCTTTTGTTGCTGTAGAAATGTAGTGTTTTGTAGAGATTCAAAACATTCAGAGGCTCTTCACATCCACTGTTGGTTTCATCACATTCACAAGGTCAGAGGTCATCAGAAAAAGCAGCATTGTTCAATGTGATGGCAGTCCAACAAAAGCAGAAGTCCCTATTTTTGGTAGATGCCATTTTTCTACATGGCAAATGACATAATACAAGTGGAAGTAATAGTCAGATCGAAAACCACTGAACCCAAAAGTCATGACATGCTTTTCTTATTAATTGGGATGTCATGTTACATAATGCTGAAGAGGAAATACCCTTAAAATTAGCCATAAACACCAATAAAAGACCTCGTTCATGATTCCAAATCAAGACTGAAGAATAGAGAGCCAACCCCAGATTTAAATTCCATTATAACGTGGGGTGAAGTTTCAGGTGACTGTCCAGGGATGAAATGTCTATTTGTAGGTGCCACAAGAGATACTCAAAGGCGGTAGTAAAACTGAACTTTTTTCAGTTTGTAAAAAATTAAATGAAAACACTGGTTTTACACAAAACATATTTTCTGTAATAAACACACCTTGCATGCCATGGCTGTTGGAAAATATGATTTCTACCAAATCTTTTCTGCAATTAATGTTGGACTGCTGCTATTATGTGGAACAACACTGCAGTTTGAATGCTGCTTTTATTATGAGGCTACATCATGATTATACACTCAATTTTTACATCTTCATTTGTAATTATGATGCTTGTACTCAAGTGAAACTGCTGTATTTCTAAACGTAAAAGATAAAGTTGCGAAGCAGCTAGTTGGTGTAATTGTTTGTTTGTGAGAAGTCGTCGACTCTCTTGTATTGCCACGCCAATAGCTTCAGGACACCTGGATCACCTCCATGCTTCCGGAAAAGCTCGACTGACTTCCAACTTTGACCATTTCTTCTCGAGAGCGGCTGTCTGTCCTCGCGTCCCCAAACTCCATCTGACAACTGCGCCTCTTCAGCTGCTTCTCAAAATTGCTCTCCTCGTGCCAACTGCGGCGTGAGTCTCCACAATCCCCAGTCCTTTGGCGACTGCGGCGCTGCACCGCCTCCAGGCCGTGGCTGTAGTTGTAGGCAAATCCACCGCCAGTCAAAATGGCTGACGTGGAGTAAAACCGCGTGGACTCTGATGATAGAAACCAACTGCCGGCCAGAGAGGACGTGGACACAGTGACAGGGCCCAGCAGAATGTCTGAGTGCCAGCCTTTTAGAGCACCGCCTGGGCTGCCCTTAAACACCACACGGCCCCCACTGTCCTCCACACTACCGCTGCGCTGAAGCGTGGAGCTGCAGTTTTTGGGGGGCTTCACTGCTGCCTCAGGAGCTCCGGCCTCTTCTTTGTCAGGGCTCTGCTCTGGGGTCGACTGCTCTGAAACCTCCTCCACTGGGGAGAACTGGCATGGTTTACTGGTGGTCTCTTTGAAAGCAGATGCCCTTCCTGCATCCCCTCTGTGTCCACTGGCCCCTGGAGGTTCACCATAAGACTTAATGTCCAGTGAGAAGGAGCGTTTGAGTCTGATGCCCTCCTCTGGGCAGTCAAAGAGGTGCACATTGCTCAGGTGCTCCAGCAGACGATCTTCAGATGGCTCCGTGAGGGTACAAGGCAGAGGGGGGGTTTGAGGAGCAGCCCCAGGACCAGGCGTGCAGGTTTGGTCACACACAAGTCTGGAGGGCATATCTGCTTCATCAGCGTTCTCTTTGACACTTTTGATTCTCTTCTCAAAGTCCAAGAGTTGACCCAGGAAGTTAAAGTTTGGAGATATGGTTGGCCTCTTTTCCTTCACAAACCTGCCACAAAGCACAAGAGGAATGTGGGGCTCATTAGAGTGCTCATCAGGATAATGAGTTTGGACAGTTAAATTCAAGCTAAACTGTCCTTCTCATTACAGAGATGCTGTATGGACCTGGGGAATGTGAATGATCACAAACATATCAGCCACTAATGCATCTGAACATGCCAACACTACAACACAGTTATTTATACAAAAGTTAATACATGACCAAATGTATAATAATATAATACTATAGAATATATTTCAAATGTTCACACACTGAGCATAATCTGACCTGTATGCCTCGTCCAGTGACATGTTCATTCTCATCATGATGTAAGCGATGGCGATAGTAGCAGATCGTGAGATGCCAGCCAGACAATGCACCAAGACGCGTGCGTTGCAAGCTTTGGCCTTCTCTGGAAAACAAAAATGTTATCTCAACTAGGAAGTATACAGAGATGGTTTGACTGCTTTTGCAAATGCTGCTGACCAATAAACTCCACAGATCTGTCCAACCAAGGCAGGATCTTCTCACAGAAGCTGTCGTTAACGGGAACTCGCAAAAAGTGGGAGTCTGGGATGAAGTCAGGCTTGGGGCAAGTGTTGCTGGCATTCAGGACATAAGCTATTTCATTCTGTTGCATCAGCTCCTGCACACACACATAAAGTATAAACACTGTAAAAATACTGTCACTGTGGGTTCTACAGGGATTCAAGGAGCATAAATTGAAGCAATATAATTAAACAAACGCATAACTGTGCATACTGTCACAATCTAATGTAAAAATTTTAAAAAGATGGGGGTACAAGACATCAGAGTGAGCCAGTGAAAAGTGCAGTGTGCTCTTGGAGATGTCTATAGTTGGGATACAGACTGAAGTGCTGTACCTTATTCAGGACATCTCTCTGGCAGCCCAAATACAGATGAGACAGAATGCGAGTGGGGCCAATGCTGGTGGCTGGGGGACAGGGCTGGGACGCACATGATGGCACACATGTGGATTTCCCTTCACACAGCCCCGGGAACAGATGACAGAACTCTGAGAAACCACCTGAGGATGAGACAAACACACAAACCAGAGTGTATATTTTGAGGATAACTTACTTCTATTTGGAACTGTTGCTGACTCATTTGCCCTTTTGTTTTGCTTTAAGATATTTGAATCAAAACATAGATGTCTTCAGTTCACATTCTTGAAGCTGCTTAACAAATCAATCTTCAGATGCGATAAGAATTACCATGACCAATCTATCAGACAAATCTCCGTCTATTTCCTTTACCATATATAGATATAGTATGTATGTACATGCTTACATGCATTTATCTTGGTGTTCCTATTTTTATAGGCAGATTTTGGAGAGCTCTCAGATATGTTTTCTTAACGTTATAAGGGTGGAGTCTGTGTAAGAGCATGACATCATGCTTACATAAGAGCACCAGCAGTATAAAAAAGAGAAAACAGTCAGTCATTAAAGTGCTCTTCAAACTCTCATCATGAGAAACTTTTTATGTCTGACTATAAACATTAGAAACAGAAAGGGTATTTTGTCAATAAAGCTCCTATTCTGTAGTAGGTACATATATAATTCAGATGGTAATATGAAGACTCACCTGAGAGGAGATGGACTGAAGGAAATGTCTTCTCTAACTTGAGCAGCAGCACACAAAGGAATGAGTCAGGGCTGAGAGCTGCCAGGTCTGAGGAACTTTGATCATACACAACAACTTCTTGATTGCCCCGTAACTCCAACTATCAGGAGAAAAGTCTCTATATAACAAAAGTATACTCAAAGAAACTCACTGAAAGATTAATATGTGATGTTTCAGTTAATGGAGGAGGTATTACTCAGTGATGTGGTGAAAATACCTTTTTCTTGGCTGAGTGCTGCAGCAGCTCTGTGATCTGAACCTTGTCCTGCTGAAGCCTCCTCTTCATGAGCTTTGAGCAGTTGACATTAACGGCCTCCAGGATGTGCGCCGAATTATAATCCACAAAAGGCCTGCTGTCGATCAGCACCACTCCATCCAGGCCACCTTCGAGCAGAGCTACCAAAGCCTCTGCCCCAATGGGCCTCACAGTCCTGGGCCTCTGCATCCCCACTGCAAAGGTGCACCTACTCACAACTGCCGCACGACCCCCCGACATGTCCCACCCCCCCCACCCCTCCTGCGGGCCCAAAAAAGCTGCCCCTCTTGTTGCAGTGGCCCTCAGTATGGTCCAGCTGGTTGTGCAGTGCAATGACAAACTGACGAAGGCCCTCAGGAGATGAAGAGCACCATTATGTGAGCCAGGGATGATGTCATGGTGTTTGGCAGTCTCAGATCAGTCCAAAGACAGAGCGAGGCTACAGCCCAGAGAGAGAGAGACACTGGTACCACAGTGTGTTTGTGACAGGAGCGTTAGTATGGGCAGGAGCTCATGCACACTGCAGTCCACCTGAGATACCTGCCATCAATGACATCATCACTCTGCTCCCTTGTATTGGGCCTCATAGTGAAGGTCCCTGTGAAAGAGATAAACCAAGTGTCATGAACCAGGACACAAACACTGACCCATCATACACACTTTGTTTGAGAGCAACATTTAACATGAGACATCTGTGATGTTCATTTCTCACTCTGTTTTGGAACCAGAAGTCTGGTGCCTCTGAAGGTAGTAATTTACCCTGGTTTGTAAATTGCAGAAGAACAATCAAGTTTCAATTCAACTTTTGAGCTTTTACTTCTTTGAATCAAGTGGGACTTTCCTTCTTTAAAGTTGAGTCATTGTGCATTTAGGAGCACATCTCTGACAAGTTTAAAGCTTGCAAACCAATTTATAATAAGTTATCAAATCTGAACTAGAGGCCGACAGATTGGGTTTTGTTCATGGCCGATGCTGATACCCATTGTATAGAATTCAGGAAAACCGATGGTCGATAAGCTCTGCCGATATTTTGGGGGGGATATGTAGTTCCAATTTTGATTATTTTCTTCAAACCCTACCATTTAAATTTAGTACACATTCACCCACAGCTGTGTTTTAACCACAAACCTAGAGGTTGTTTTCAGCAGTTATCTCTTTGCAATAAAGTAAAATAAAGAGTTAAGTGTATTTTTTAGGCAGCAGATTGAACAAAACAAAATATCAGCCAACCAATATATCGATCTATCTCTAATCTGAACAAGTATGTTGAACTTCTAAATGGTCAGACAACAAAATGCTGATTAGAGACACTAACACTTTTTTCATTATAGAACAGTAAAATGCAATCACTAAGCCATAACAAAGATTTTTTTTTAAATAAATGTGGTTCAATTACAATAGTTACATCTACACACGCAGATAAAGGCTGTTTAACACTTCTCTAAATTTTAATCAAGTACTCGATGTTAGGGGTGTCACAGCTTTTTAGTCCTAGGATGATATATTTTGAATTTAAAAATATAATAAAAACAAAAATGCTAATATATTACTTTACAAGCATTCTATAATTTTAGGTGTTTTCATCTTACAATTGTATAGCTATTGCCTAAAGAAACGCATTTCAACAATAACAATGTTCTTTTTTATGTATATAGGCCTAATAGATGTAGACAAACATGGTAGCAGATTTATAAAATATTATGACACAACTTACATAAATATTATGACACAACTTCTTTCAATATGAGGTATAGTAGAACATAACAGCATATAGACTTCTAATTAGGTTATCTATTCGAATAGTGTAATATAACCTAGCTACAAGCCTAAATCACATGATAATGTTTGCAGTATTAAACCTATGTTGTACACTGTACTACATTGTACTTGTCCCCTAAGTTAACAATACAGTCAACTAAATGTAAGGTTATCTAATGTTAATAAACTGTTTGTAATTGGCTGTAAAAACACATTTCCGTGTCCTTGGACAGCTCGGGTCAGCATAAGATCACTTTAACTTTTCCATTACATAAAGTTGGCTCGCTCGAGTTATTTCAGGTTATTTTGTAACGTTGGCGTCGGCAAATGTGTGTCGACGTGAAACTGACCAGGCCGTACAATAAGACAAAACAAAAAGTAATAAGTGCAGACAACTTCAAGTTAACCGAGGGACGATCCAGAGGAAAACTTTGACGCTAGGCCTCGTAACCCGCCGCAGTTTGATATATACTTTGATACTTTCGAAAACTCACCGTTCAAAAGTCGACGTCAAACCAGCAGACGCACCATTTTATTCGTCCACATTACAACAGCATCACTGCCTGGTGTAATCTATACGAGTTTTAAAGACATAAGGTTAATATAAGAGGTAAAGTAATTGAGAAAAGCCTGTGAGACGGTTAGTGAGGTCCTGTCGCTGCCATAAGAGATGAGGTCACTGTATAAAAATACTGATGTCGTCATCGAAGCGCAGTCTAAAGGACTCACTGGGCTTCTTAAAGGCGCAGGCACACAGACACAGACACAGACAGACACACAGACAGAGACACAGGGACACACAGACACAGACAGAGACACAGAGACACACAGACAGAGACACAGGGACACACAGACACAGAGACACAGACACACAGAGACACAGACACAGACAGACACAGACAGAGACACAGACAGAGACACAGGGACACACAGACACAGAGACACAGACACACAGACAGAGACACAGACAGAGACACAGACAGAGACACAGAGACACACAGACACACAAGACACACAGAGACACAGAGACACAGACACACAGACACAGAGACAGAGACACAGACACACAGACAGAGACACAGACAGAGACACACAGACACAGGAACACACAAACACAGAGACACACAAACATAGTTACACTCAGACACACAGACACAGAGACACAGACACAGGGACACAGAGACACAAGACACAGACACAGAGACACAGAGACAGGACACAGAGACACAGGACACAGAACACAGAGCACACAGAGACACAGACACAGACACACAGACACAGACACACAGAGACACACAGAGACACAGACACAGACACAGAGACACACAGACACAGACAGCACACACAGACACAGACACACAGAGACACAGACACAGGGACACACAGACACACACACAACAGGACACAGGACACACACAAACACAGAGACACACAGACACAGAGACACAGGGACACACAGAGACATAGGGACACAGACACACAGGGACACACAAACACAGAGACACACAGACACAGAGACACAGGGACACACAAACACAGAGACACACAGAGACATAGGGACACACAGACACACAGGAGACACAGAGACACAGGGGACACAAAACAGAGACACAGGGACACACAAACACAGAGACACAGAGACACAAGGACACACAAACACAGAGACACACAGACACATAGGGACTCACAGATTTATTGAGATTCAGGACTGGAGACTGCTAAAAGTGTATTCTTTTTGTTTTGACAATGCATTAGAGCATAATATTGTTCACAACAGTCCCAAGCACCATACATTAGCTTATGGGCAAATGTATAAGGTAAGAGGAAGTAAATTTTAAGATTTTGGGCTGGAGAATAGGCTATTATTCATCTTAAAGAGGTGTTATTACAATTGCAACTTTTGCACACATCCTACTTGTCTCGTTTTAATGTCCTACAGCATGCCATAAAAGCATATATTTATTCAAACACAACATTCTGCTACTAAAATAAAACATGTGTTTTACTTTGTAGGTAAAGTGGTAACATCTCCATGGGCATGGGGACAGAGAGTTAGAACAGGGTACCTTTAAAAATTCACATTCTTCACAGATCTTCTTTGATCCTTGACAGAATAAATGGGCCTCCAGGATTAGCTACCCAATCTGGTGACTTTTTTGTGCTACTTGAGAGTGACTGCTCTTTACAGAATCCAGGTGTTCTGTCTTGAAATTTTTTGTATTTGACCAATGTATCTTGCATTATGCTCAAGTAGCTTGGTTTGCACAATCCTCAATGACTACAAGGGAGCACAAATATAGACAGGCCAGTTAGCCAGTTTAGCCAAATATGCTCCCACTGTAGAATCACCATTATTCACTCATTTATATAAATTTGGGTAGAGGTAACTCATTTCAACAGGCCTATCTTCTGTCAAATGGCTCCTACTATAAGAGAAAGACATTACTGGAAATAATGAAATCTTTATATTAAATAAATATCATAGGCTACAGTGTGAATTTTCTATTATATATTGATATTTTATTTATACAGCGCTTTTCTAAACAAAGTTACAACGTCTACACATGGAAACAAAATAAAATACAATGTAATGAAAATGATAACGATAAAATCAGATATTAAATCCAAACTATTCAATGTAACACAGGTATTATGCCGCAAATCTAACACGCACATGTCGTTGTTTATATGCTTTACTGGTCAAAACTCCAATATAACCAAAACACTTTTCAAATGTTACTTGTTGTTCCACTTCTGCCTTGCGAGCTCAAATCAGCGGCATTTAAACTGTAACAGCGCTTAGGGGGTTGTGCGCACGCGCAGTAGTGCTAAGTAGCTCAAATTGACGGGTAGCTCAAATCGACAGGACACCGGACTTAGCCAGGCATGCTAATTGTTCCTGTGTAAACCCTTTTGCTTTCTTCAGCTAAATACATTCACTGTGCCAGAGCTGATTAGGCAGTCAGTCCACTCCAACTCCACCAAAACTAAAAAAACATTCAAAGCAACGCAAAACAAACAAAACATCGGCGCGCCGGCGCCGAACGCCGCGCCCTCGCCAATGCGCCCCCCGCCGAACGCCGCGCCGGCAAATGGTGCTCCCCGCCAATACCATACCCTAAACGCCGGGTCCGCAAACTCTGTGCCTGCAAACAGTGAAATGACATACAGTGGTACGGCTTTAAATGTTCTTTGCGCCCCCTGCTGGCCAACCTTGAAAAATACCCATATCAGTAATATATGTTTTTGCTTCTAGTCATTAATAGAATTTAGTTCCCAAATTTGGTACAAATCCGACAATGTTGATGTTTCATGTCTATGGTAGGGGGCGCTATAGTGTTCACTTTTCATATGTTTTATCGTGTATTATATTCAGACTGAGATCACACATTAGTGATTCAAATTTCAGCATGATGAGACTAAGTCTGTGCATGTAATATATTTTTTTTCTATTTTTGGGAGGAGTTTTAATGCCCCTGCTGGCCAAGAGTGAAAAATTCACCATGTCCATAATATACTTTTTTGCTCGTAGTTATGCATAGAATGTAATTTCCAAATTTGGTGCAGATCAGATAATGTTGACATTTCATGTCTATGGTAGGGGGCGCTATAGTGTTTTTTCATATGTTTTATAGTGTATTATATTCAGACTGAGATCACACATTAGTGATTCAAATTTCAGCACAATCGGACTAAGTCTGTGCGAACAGGAGCAAATAATGTCACCTTGAAATTCGCCAAAACTTTGACCAAATTTTGCAGCGTCGCCGCACGTAAACCGTGACAGTTATCAAAAAAAAATCTGCTAACTTCAGATGTTCGACTTTTCTAGATGATGTACGGTGATTTTCAGGCCTGTGGGTGAAGCGTCTTCAGAGGAGTTCGTTCAAACGCAATGTGAACGAAAATGCGGACTGAAATTTCAATCCAAGATGGCCGCCTTCTGGTTTGTCAGGGGGCGTGGCCATAATAACATTTTTTGTTTGTCTTCACATGCTGAATGTGTGTACCGAATTTTGTGGCTGTACGACAAAGTTGAGGTCGGGACGTCTCCCATAGGCGCAATGTATTTTGACTTTTCGAGGTGGCGCTGTGTCGCCATTTTTTTATGCCCGTGCACGAAACCTATAGTTTATCGAATTTTTCGCCACTTCTGAATTTTGGGCAAAGTTTGGTGAGTTTTTGAACGTGTTTAGGGGGTCAAATTAGAGCTGAAAGAGCATAATAATAATAATAATAATAATTCGAGCAAAAACAATATATCCGAAAACTTTAGAACAACATATTATACGTTTTTTGAAAGCTCTCGACTTTCCCCGCGTCACCGTGGGGTCATTGGTGAGTGACGGGCACTGAGGCGCTCGTCATTCGCCATCTCGTCGAGGTCACCCATCGCCTTCCACTGACTTCCATTCATTTTAGCAGTAGTAAATATGAGCCAGGCCTTGGGCGTGGGTTACTGGGATACTGCTGTTCGTGCCGGGGGCCACCGTGGAAATAGTTGCATGTCGTCTTGTCGCATTCGGACATGCGCACGTCGCTCCCCATTCGCTCCGCTGAGCGGAAGCAATAGGCCCTACGCCCTGTCGGGGCTCGGGCCTAAAAACAAAAAACCGATTACTATTTGATAAAATGTATATGTTATAACTTGTTCTATGTGATAATCACAGACTGTTATAAGTTATGGAATATAATTTAGCATCAGCTCTTGTTTGTCCAACATATAACACACAAATGTGTTTACGTTTTCTAATGAGGCTCTGAAATTACTTCGTGTTTAAATCTAGCAGGTAAATAAATGACCTTAATGAAGATATCTTATGGCTAATCTCAATGTCTCAATGATTAAATGTATACATTATTATGTTCCATTTCTGTTTTGGCCATAGAATGTATAGTTTTGCCCATGAACAGGACCCATGTAGGACTGTATTTGTGACTTGCTTTTAGGGCTCTGTAGGCGGCAGCAAAGGGCAAAGCTAAAGGCAGCCAAAGAAGCGGATGGACGCGACCATTGCGATCAAAACAACATTTCGGATTTGATCAGCAGCGATCATCTTGTATATTTTAATTTTTAAAGCACAGAACTTTTTTTTCCCTAAAGCGTTTTGCTCTTTCTTCGCTCAGCTAGTCTACCTGTCAAGCTTACACCTTAACCCCATCAACATGGACGAGAACAAGGTACATTTTACTTACTTTTTCTAGTTAGCATAATAGTGGCGACACTTAGATAAACAAATGTATTAAATAAGTTAAGTGTGACATAGACGGTATACATAAACGGGGCTGCTCTATAATTAAGCTAAATAGTTATGTTTAAAGCACATTTTTACAGCTACGCAACACAGCTAACATCAGCTAGCAGTTAGCCACTATTGTTATTTTGCTCTGAAAGTACGGGACTGATATACCATATTCCGTGACAGATTATGGCTGGTAAAGTGAAGAAACCAGGGAAACGTGGGCGAAAACCTGCCAAGATTGACTTAAAAGCCAAACTGGAGCGCAGTCGCCAGAGTGCGCGTGAATGCAGAGCAAGAAAGAAGCTGCGTTACCAGTATTTGGAGGAGCTAGTCTCCAGCAAAGAGAGAGCTATTTGTGCTTTACGGGAGGAGCTGGAGATGGTAAGTCACAACTGATGACACATATATGTTACTGGTCTTTAATCAACAGTCATTAATTGCAGCATTGTCTGTTCTTCATATTTCTAGTACAAGCAGTGGTGCTCAGCCATGGACCAAGGAAAGATTCCCTCTGAGATAAAGGCCTTGCTTACAGGAGATGAGCAGAAAATCCCTCATAATGGAAGCAACACAAAAGCATCCAAAAACAGCAAAACAACGGCAGCAATTGACAAGCCTGAACGCAGAAATGAGTGACTAACAAGGCACACAACGTTAAAAATGATGTTACATTTACACTTTTGGAAGAACTCCATGGGGCTATTACGTGAAGCTAAAGCCAAAACCTGGCATATTTGGGCAATCCACAGACCTGTTTATACAGTCTATGGTCAGACCCAGGCTTATTTCTAAAATGGAGTGACTTGAGGCTTAAACTGGGCATGGAGCTTGCTAACTTTCAGCTCAGGATTTTAAGATAAGCCTGGACTTGTTAAGGAACTTTGATGGAATAGCCCCCATAACAAGAACATGTTATTTATATTCATGTCACTGATCTCTGATGAGATTAAACATACATACTCAATTACTCCCTACAAATCTACAATCTACAAAACCTTTTATGCGCACTTTAAATGATTGGCTTCTGGCTATGTATTCAACCACATATAATTTGAGATATTTTATTGAAATTAATTATAATACCCTGTTTTATGGGTGTAGGAGACAATGTTGTATATATTGTTCTAAGTTATGTTAGCCTAACCATATAGTTATTATAGTATAGTTTTGTATGTGGCAATGTTTTAGTTTGTTTTGTAAAATAAATAAAAAAATATATGAAAGATACATAAGTACTTTGCCTTTTTATTGACATTGCTTCTACTTCTCTTATTCTCTCCATGTTTTAGTATTTAAATGCAAATTAGTTATGTTGTTTTTATAGTTTGTGATTACTTTTAATTATTGTCACTAAGTGCATGAACGGGACAATTTTCAAAGTGAATTTATTACAAAGCATAGATCATAAACAATTCACAAAAATACTCACATGGCTATTCACAAAATGTTTTTGGACAATTAAAAACAAGACAACAGAAATGCACATACAGCTAATACATGTGTTTCATGGTACCATGCAAAGTTATGACTGGCAATTGTGTTTCCACTACTTCAGACTCAAGTTTGAAACAATTTTAATTTGAAGACACGTTTTCCTCAAATTTTGTCATTTTGTTGTTAAGATGTACAAAGCAAAAACTTTAACAGCATTATAAAGAAATCATATATTTATTCTGATTATCTTGCTATTAATACATCCAAAAATCAGAGTGAAATAAAATTTTATCTATTCAGAATAGACTCACTCAGCTAACTGAAATTTTTGCCATTTCAAGACATTAAATCACAACATTTAGTTAAGTTAAACATGGTAATGATTATTCAAACTACACAATTTAAGTCTGTTAATGTGAGCATAATATACAGGTGTAGATGTATATGGCTTGAAGCCATATGGCTACAGGTATTGTAAATCTGGTATGTGTACATGAGAACACCAAGAAACGCATAATGTGCGTACAATGAAAATAATGTCTTATGGCCAACCACCAATATTACATACACAAACAAGGTATGTCTGAAACATGTAGTTGCTCACAAGTGTTGAATACAAGAACTATGGGTGCCACAAAAGCCCTTTATAGAAATTAGAAAATTCTGTTTGTGTGAGGACATAGTTATCATACAGTCTTTAGGTAGTTTGCAAATCAATGTTGGCAGTGTGTAGCGTGTGTATCTTTGATGTCATTCTGTTACAACAACTTAACTAATTTTATACAAACGTATTTGAAGGATTGGAATTGGTGGGCCAGGCAACCTTTTTGTCTTTTGCCTCTCGATCGAATGATTCATAAACTGACTCCTTGGTCATTGTCTTAGCCTGCACTGGAAGGTCCACTACACCAACATAGTTCTTTTTAGCCATTCGAGAACTTGCTGTGATAGTGTAGGCATTACTGCGATAACATTTCATTGATGACATGCAAAAGGTTTCCCTCATGCCTCTCCTAAAGTTTGCATTGTACACACAGTACAAGGTAGGCTTAGCTGCAGTGGAGCTGAATGAAATCCAGATAATTGCTGCAAAGAACAACAGCCTCTGTCTGTTTGAGCTGTGAGAGTCTAACGGGTGCCAGATCTGGGCAACATAAAAGGGTGTCCAGGAGAGAAAGAAAACTGAATTGAGCATCAAAAACATCTTAATAGTCTTGACTTTAGTCCGTGGGACAATATTCATTGTTCGACGCACTGTGTGGCCATCAGCACTGATCCTCCAAATGTAGCGAATAACTCTTTGGTAAAAGAACACTATCAGTGCCACAGGAACCATAAAACTTAAAAGTAGATGAAGCACAGCATAGATTGTCCCTGCCCAGCCAAGGGGGAGAAAAAAGTTACAATGACTGGTGCTACTATTTGCTGTAGTGAAGCCATAGAAAAAGAAACATGGGGATACAAAGACTGCACCAAACAGCCAAGAGGCCAGGATCATCTTCTTGGCCTTCTCTCTGGAAACTTTAAAGCTGAGTGGATAAACAATTGTATAGAAGCGGTCAACAGAAATAGAAAGCAGGACATATACCTGAACACCTGGACATAGGTGCTGCAAATATCGCACAATTTTGCAAACAACTGCACTGAGTGGCCATTGTCCAGAGGCCACCTGCAGGAGGCCAAAAGGAGCACACCCCAGGCTCATGAGGAGGTCAGCACAGGCCATGGACACCACAAAGTAATTGGTGGTCGACTGAGTCCTTCGGCTCCTGTGGATAACCAGACAGACCAGGGCATTTCCCAAAATGGACACCAGCCATATGATGCCAAACACCAAACCCAAGACGGCCACCTCCCCAGAGGTCAGCTCACTTTCATGTAAGGTCCCATTTGGTTGGATGGTCACTGTACCTTCAGTGCTGCAGAGAGGAGTTGTAGGCAAGGAAGCTGGGACACTTGAGTTTTCCCTTTCAGAGAAGTTAAATGACATGTAAGATGAAAATGCTGGTGAATAAATGGAGGGATTGATTGATTGTGATGGCTTAGAATAAACCATATTTATACTGGTCCAACTGTGAACATCTGTAAAGAAAAAGTGTTACAGTTAGAACAACATGAATATGTATATATAAAAGGAAATTTATAAGCAACTTTGCAGACATTTAAATCCATAATCTTACCAAGCATAAACTATTGTGCAGTGACTTCAAACTGAACAGGATGCAACCAGGGATTAAGTCAAACCTTTTAAATGGAGCTACAGTTCCCTTGCGGTGGTTTATTTCATTAACCCCTCACACACATATCCTGTTAAGATCCCATTGTCCTTAGGGATCACCTAGGCCTTTTAAAGTTGCAATGTCCCATGAGGGTAGCCTATGCTCACGCTGTTCAAATGAAATCGTTGAGAATCATACATGATTTTACACAAAATTGTAGACTATTTGAAATTTTGAAGAAACACGTACATTCCCTATTGGCCAAGAGCAGACACATGGGTATAAGTCTAAGTAATTACTTTTACAAAGTTACTGCTGGCTTTTTGAAGAAATTGCATTCACGTGAGTGTTTTGTTTTTTGAAACAATACTCGAGAAAAAGTTGTGTTTACTCTTCTTTCTAAGTGACAATGCTTTAATTATTAGGTTCTCTAATTTATGCTGACTATCATCTTTTGATAAAATCAAGAATCTGCATTATTTAGGCTGATATTTTTCTGTCCAATTAGGCTACATTAATTCAAAGAAAAACAGATGTTACGCCCAAACAGTGCTATAAATAGCGCTATGAATGAAACACCAGATAACGTTGTCGCCTACAAGCACACAGACAACACAAGATTCTTAGTCTTATAGTCCTTAACATATTTTGCGAGATCCGGGAATCAGTCTAATCACAATAATCGCAAATAAATTTGTCTCTAAAGCAGCGCCAACAAGGTGGCGTTGGCCTCGGCGTTGGTGCGTCTCTCCATCATCTTCATAGTAGACTACAGGCTGTTTACGCACCTTTTTCTAGACCAACTAAATATTCGTATTCTTACAGTTTGCGTTCAAATGAATCTGTTATCACAACACAGACCTTCTAAAGACTTAACTATTTTTATGACCTAGCAGATCTAACAGCAGGTTTTCATCTCTCCCTACAGGCCTGCCATATCGAGTCGATGTGTGGATACTCACCAGTTCACAGCATCGCAAAGAGATACGCTTCGTGTGGCTGTTTTCCGTGATTCACCGCGGCTCTGGGTGACAAGCAGCCGCTCAGAGATGGAGCGATGGCAGACACCATGGCTTTCGGTCGTGGTAAGAGTCCCCAGTCTCAGCAGTCTAACCTTACGCATATGTCTTCACAGGGATATTAGGATGGCGCTGAGGAGGAACATAATATTGCCTTCTCTAGCTAGAGCCAGGGCCGGAACAAGGATGTTTGGGGGCCTTAAACCTTTTCTATAGCCCCCATATTTATACTCTTTATTATAATTTATACTGTTATGACAATAATAATAATAATAATAATAATAATAATAATAATAATAATAATAATAATAATAATAATAATACACATTATTATTATTATTATTATTATTATTATTATTATTATTATTATTATTATTATTATTCAGTTCAGACCTGATGCATCATGACCCAAAGTAAAAAGTGTTGGTCTACCATCCATGTCAATCCCAATAAAACTGAGGTAGGCCATGTCTGCTTACAATTTTAATAGGCTATGTCCAGTAAAATTAGACAAATGAACACTATTTTCATGATCCTTGGTTGCACCTAGCTCATCTTTTGACCTTCACACCACAAGTCTGCTGATTGACTGTTTGGGTCTACTCCATAAAAGGATGCAGAGCCTTCCACATCATAGACTGTATAATATGGTCCCCATGAACGCTCAAACGCTGACGGTGCTCTGTCTCTGCGTCGCCATAGCAACCGTATCACCAAGGAGACCGGCTGCGCACGGAGAAGAGATGGAAAGGACCAGGGAGAGAAAAAAAAGTCAAAAGTATTTCAGTACTTAATGACTGAGTGTGGGGTCAGTGATTCAGCATTGTTACAATTACACACCTTCAGATTCATTATAGCATTTGAAAGTCTGGGTGAGCCATTTCAAAATTCAGGTTTGAAAATAATTTATTGCCATTTGAATGCAATAATATTGCCATTTGAATGCAATAAAATAAATAATAGCTTCAACAACTACATAAATAAATACAAGGTTCATCAAAATCACCTGTTTAACGTAGAATCAAGTAGCAAAGACTGAACAAAACCTTATTTTTAGGCGATGTGGCTCTCCCTATTAAACATGTAAGGATGATCATGAATCATTATCATTACTGTTGAAATTAAAACATTACATTAGATTTAAAGTCTATAAGACATTTATTTACAGTTATACAGGAGAAAGTTGTGACATTTTCATTGGGACTACATAAGAAAAAAGAAATGAAACACACCATCTTATTTACTGGATAGTTGTTTTGTAGACAGCTTATGAATTTACAATTTATAGTAATAATGTGCGGGTAGATACAAGTGAAACAAGTACTCTTACTTTTTAATGCATAGGCTACAGATTATTAAGCTAATACCTCTCAAGATAACTGAACAAATTAAAGAACATGCAGACTCCACCATAAAGCCCAGTCTTGGAACATTTTGCTGTGAAGTTGAACCCTAACCTTCACATTTTCTATGGCACCAAGAACCCTGATTAAAATTGTGTGAGCAGTAAAGCTCCACTAGAAAAAAAGGAACTAATAAATAAAATATGTCTTCTTATTGAATGAATATGATTTTAGATAGTCCCATGATAATTACTCATGTGGTCAGCCAAAAGTCCTCTTATTCTATACAGAGTCTCATTTCTTGATAAAAACACCCATGAGTTCCAATGGTTAGGAATGACAAGTGGATTGACAAACACATGGCAAGTTCCCTCATCAAAACAGAACAAATAAAAATCAATATTAGGATCATTTGTATATCAATCAGAATTGATCGTCCACAAACTTGAGGAAGAGTAATGTTATACAGTGGAGAGGGCTCCAGATGCTCCTGCAGGGGCTGGGTTGCCAGGCTAGATATTTACAATAATTATGTACAAACTGGTTATTCCGTCTAGCCCCTGAGTCCTCCATCCAATGTCAGAGTGCCAAAACTGAAGGAAGAAAGAATACATTTTATTACAGTCACCCTGAATAACATGCAGTTTATAACTCAACATACTGTTTTGTGTATCATGTCTTGTAAAATACAAAACAGATCGCTTTCTTTGTGGTTAAACAAGAAAAGAATCTTTGTATTAAAGTGTGTTTATGTCTCACCGTTCTAAGAAGTGGTTATTTTCTGCCAACTCTTTGACCACACCTTCCATCTCTTCCTTTAGTTTCTTCATCCTTAAACAAAAGTATACACATTAAAAGTGGCTTAGCAGCTGGCTTCAGATAATCTTAATAATATCAATAACACCCACCCCAGAGTCATTTCCACAAGTGTGTTCTGACTCAGGTAGGCCTGAGGCTTCATCCCACTGGACACCAGAGGAAGGACTTTCTGAGGAAGCTGCTCTTGCAGCTGCACAAAGCCAAGACATTTAGTTAGCAACAGGGTTTTCTGAAAGAACAACACAATAAACACATACAGGTTAAACTTACCTTGATGGCTCTCTCCATGAACATAGTTACCTCTTTCTCAATGCTTATCAGATTACCAGACAGGCTGAGGAACTGTTTCCTCACGTGATGAACTTTTCTGTAAACATAAACACAGCATCTAAGCAACTGAAATGTTTTAAGTATTTTACGGTTTTAGTTGGACTCCCATTATAAAGCTTAGGGAAAATATTTCTTACCTCATCCACTCCTCACTCTTAGAGATAAACAAGCGGTATTTCATGGCACATTCCTCTGTGAATAGGGATCTTGCTTTGCTGGCATGGAGGACCAGTTTTTGTCTGTTCAACAACATATCAGTTAATACAAAAAAAAGTTTTTTTTTGTTTTTTTTACATACATTCAGAGATTAAAATATTTACTTATCAAATTTATGGATCTGTTCTTCGTTGTATGGCAGTCCTGGGGATGATGTGAAAAATAAAAAGGTCATTTGAACTAATAGACAATATTTTTTACTCAATAATGCATATGAAGCAATGCTCACTTCGTTCAGCCTTGTCCTTCTTGAACTGCTGGTAAATGGCTGTGATGGCATCCAGCAACACTTTGATTTTCTCCACACTATAGAAAACAGAAGAAGTTAATTAAACTACATAACTAAGTAGATGTAAACTCATACAGCTTCAGCCCTACTTTCTGTCCTCAGGATGAGTTCCGACTTGTTGTGTCCAGGTGTCCGTCAGTACTCCTCCGGGTAGGAATTTACTTTTGATATCTTGTGTTGTTCGCTCAATAGGCTCCAAAGAACTTGCAATCTGAATATTAAAATGCTTATTGGTTCATTATTGCAAAAAAGTTTATGTAATTTTTCATAATAGCAAAAAGATAATTCGTTTTTTTTAAATTTTTTATTTCAAGTAACATTATCTTTAATTTATCAATACTTGCCCTGAGAATTTTCTTGTGCATGTCTGAGATCTCATCATATTCTGTTGACAACATGTTGGCCTGCATGAACACCTCAAATCTATACAACACAATAAGTCAGATAACACATATCACCATAAAGGATGTAAATTGATTTTTAGTTACTCACAGCTGTTCTGTTTTTTCAAGTATCTGGGTACAGTAGCCACACAAATGAAAGACTTCATTCTTTTTGTGTTGAATTTCACTATAGTCTTCCTTCATCAGCTCTCTAAAAATATTACAGGACATTTAAATCAAAAGACATCACTGAACAACATAAAAATATTTTGTGCAATAACATCTTCACTCACATTAGCCCACGGACACCTTTACGTACAAGTTCCTGATACACAAGGAGAGACTCTGAAGTTTTCCATAAGTGTCCCACATCTCCAGCAAATGTCTGTAGATGACATAAATGTTGTTTTCAGTCCCAGTTTAACAATAAAAAAGTATATATAAAAGTATATAAGACAGTTTAATGATCATTACCTTGGCATAGCTGGCATCTAAATCTAGATCGTAGCGCGGTTGAACTTTTGGTGGACTGGCTGTAAAGCAAAAGCATATATATATATATATATATATTCAAAGCATTAGTCTACAAATGCATGATGAGTGAAATCTTGATACAGACGGTCTTCAAAAATGAGGCCGACGGTGGTGACAGACTCGCGGCTGACGAGCATTATGGGGTTGTCTCTGGAGGTCTTGGGGAATGTTTTGGCTTGGCGGTTTGGGTCAAGGATGAGGCGCCGACCCTCATAAAGTAGCTCCTGATTGTGGAGTGTGATACTGGTCCTTCGGCACAGCAGGTCCTGGAACAGTGCAGCTCTGTAAAAAGCCAAAAAAAAATGGATACTCTTAAATTGTAAGTTTCATACCAAATTAAATATAATTAAAGAGATGAAGAGGAGGGCTTCAGTGGGTCAATCAAAGTTCAGATCAGGTACTCATCAGGATCACAGGGGAAAAACTACACTTACAGACACTAAAAAGCAGTTGGAGGGCCTAGAATTTCTTCTTTTTAAAATTAAATACTTTTTTTTTTTTTAAAGTTCTTACGTGTTGTATTCATGAATGTAGATGTGATGAAGAGTAGCTTGCTGTAGGCTGAAAACATAAACAACAGTACGGTGTAGGATGTCACTGGTCTCTGCAAAAAACTGGTCAAAACCCCAGCACTTTTCTTGATCTGCCTCCAAGATGTTGGCAAGGACAGGGGTAAGAAGGCTCTGCAATCCCCTGTTAAATAAATACAAAGAACACATTCTAACACTAGTGACTAAATGGGTAAATTATCAATTCTCTCATAAACTAAAGCTATGTATAGTCCATTGTACCTTTGTAACAGAAATACTTACTTAGATAAGCTGCAAGACACTGGCATTTCTGTGCTCCATTCAATTTTGCCATTTTCACACTTCTGGTGGCCAGAGATTGTTCCAGGAGGCTTCTCTGTGATAATTTTATACCTGATACACATATACTCAGTTTCATATTATATTTCACCAAATCTTATGGCAATGATCTATACAAAACTGGACTTGATTTAATGTTGTCAGATAAACAGACTTACATCACTTCTTTATTTCTGCGGGGTCCTTCAAAAGGTCGGAATGGGAGACTCCCTGTAGCTGCATGGTAGAAAGTAACACCGATACTCCAAAGATCCACTGTGGCTCCATATTTTTTCTGGTGATCTTTCCTTAAAACAGCACGCTCGTACATGTCAGGGTGCTACAGGGTGCAAAAGGATGCATTTGATTTATAAAAAGTTAGACAAAGTATTTGGAACAACTAAAGGTGTACATTTTCTTACCAAATATTCCTCAGTGCCATAGAGTGACACAAACTGCTCATCATCCTCCAACTCTCTAGCAGCGCCAAAGTCTGTCAGCTTGTAGACAGAGTGTCCATCCTCTCCAATCACACGCATAATGTTCCCAGGTTTAATATCACGGTGGACAATGCCATATTCCCTCAAGTGGTTCATCCCAGCAACTAAAGGCAAAGTAGAAGAATGTCAACAATTGTGTCAAGCTCCATTTACTGTCTTATGTGTCTGTGTTCACCGTTTCAACTTTGTTTTAAAATGAAATATTACAGAGAATATTACTTACCCACATCATGGAGGACTATAAGGAACTCATCTTCAGGAAGGCCATAGGCGTTTGAAGCCTCCTCTAAAACAGTGTACAGACTCCCACAAGGGCAGTACTCCATAACAAGCACCTTATGACGAGTGTTAGACTGTTGACATACAGAAAGATATGAGGAAAAACTACATGTACAGTAAGAATATTTCTTTATTTATTATCACAGTGTCTAAATTACATATTTAACATAATAGTATAGTATAGTTGTAAAATAGCCATTAATCCCTTCTGAACAGGTTTGTATTAAACAAAAGTGTTGCTGTGTTGTTTGCATTGTGTATTTGCTATTCACAAGAGGAATTATTACTAACCTCCTCTTCCACTGCAAAGAGTTTCACAATGTTTTTGTGGTTTAGTTTCTTCAAAACTTCAAACTCCCTCATCTGGACATCTAATGGCCTCAGAAAGCTAATGTTATTGAATACCTTCACAGCATATAGGTCCCCAGTTTTCTATAAAAAATAACAGATAAGCATGCGTTAAACTTTTAAACCCATTAAAATGGATGAAACAAATGATGCAATAGTGCATATTGTTTTACTTTGTGTCGGCCACGGTAAACATTGGCTGTTGCTCCCTGACCAAGCAGATCAGAGATCAGCCAAAGGTAGTTAGTGGTACTTTGCATCCTGAAGACTCAAGAGACTCTGTGGGGAAACAATGCATTAATGGCATTCAATAATGTTATGTCACATTGTCAGATGGAGGGCAGGGGCCTGTGTAATTCTATGATAGAGTTGACGTTTTTGGAACTCTATAGGCCTGCACTGAGAAATCTGTCCTCCGTATGCAGGATAAGGCACTGGCAATTCTAGGCTCCATTGTGATTGTAGTACTTTTTAACCCAGTAAGAGGGTAGACTACTTATCCTGTTTTAAATCAAAATCTCTATGTAGACTAAGATTTTACTTTTTAGTTTACAAAGCAAGCCAGCAAACGAATGAAAGATCGTCGTCAATAATCGCTTAGGTTGTGATTTACAATTGTACGTGTCCTAAAAAGTCACGCAGTTCTGTTTTGGTGCTGAAACACAGTAGCGACGTTAAAGCTACCGGGAAATTCCCATTAGGCCTCAAACAAGAGAAACCTGCTTCAGAAGTAATCTGTAATCTGCCGGAAAAACATCATCTTAAACGCAAATTAAAAAAACACAATGAAACAAAAATATGTCTGGGAATGGCCTGTGTTAAAATGAGACAAGAAGGTAGTCAAAGAAGGAACTAAAACACTAAAAGATCACACATTTAGCAGTAGTTGTTAGATAAATACAATTATATCGATATGTAATAAGAAATTATATTTAAATTAGCCTATTTACATTCTGATCAGCACAAGTATGTTTATTTGCGCATTTTCACTTTCGATGGCGAGGAACTAGATTTCCATCGGAAAGACACGATTTCGAAATAAATAAAATCTTAGCGTGTCGATACAGACTACACTAGCCAACACTACAGGACTCATATAATACATTACGGAGTTGTTTTTTAAAGATAAATACATACAGATATGTTGTTTATTTCCTCACCTTCTGTATGCGGACGTCGGAGGCTCTTCCGCTGTTCCCTGTCACGTGTCCGAAACGATCAAATGAAGTTTAAAGGAGGGCGGGGCCAAATAATGACGCCTGAAAGAAGCATTAATTTGATCATTTGGGTCAAATTTCAGGGAAAGAAAGACAAAAATATATCGGTTTCACCAATTCTACAGTCAGTTATGATACTATATAGACAACAGCTGTCTGCCCACTACATCCAAATCTTTGGGCTTCTTATCTTCTGTAATTAGTTAGCCTAATTATATTATTTTAAAGTCTTGTGTCACTGTTAATTTGCAACACTATATGATAATTGGATTCATTCAGAACCATTCAGAATTTAAGCAGTAGCTGCTTACATTTTCATAAAGAAAGGGGTGAAAATGTTGGCCCATCTAAATGATTGCGCAGTAATAACAAAACACACATACATGGTCAAGTTCAAGCACTTGTATTTAACAAAATAAGGAGGAAAACACAGCAATTAATGAGTTACAGCTTATGGTGGCAGCTGGATGGGCTATACAAGTAAATCTGTTTACAAGCAAAGCAAACAACTGACAAAAAAGGGGAAAAAACAGACATTTTGTCAATAACCAAATGTTGGTCATTTCTTTTCTTGCAAAGAAATGTTGGTAACCAAATAAATGATGACAAATGACTTGTTTAACCTCCAAAATATGTCAAAGTGCTTTCTAAAAACTTTGATAGGATTTCAACATTTGACAGTACAATTTCTTTTGTACATTTTGTATAATGGTGTTTAAAAGAAAAGTCGTCATTTATCAGGACAAACAAGAAAACAAGAACCAGCTTTGCACAGTTCTCCAGCTGCACCACAACTGCGTTTGGTACCAGAATATAAGTACTGTAAAGTGCAGGTATCACATGAGAACCTCATCCTGAAAATTGCTTAAGTACATTTAATGTGTCTGTTAGTGACTGTACCACAGGTAGCTCAACACAGGTATAAACATGACATGAACATTTGGCATCATCCTCCTTTTTAACTGTAATATTTTGTCTATTATTGAGAAAACATACATTTTTGCATTTTAGACAATAACTAAAACAGTATAGTGTTGAATGTTGTTTTTGCTCATTGTGTCCAATACTGATTAAAGTATGGCCATGGACATTTGAAAAATCCTTGGATGTTCTTAATTCTTAACATCCATTAGCTTCAAATCCTTGCTACCAATTAAAATACAGTTACACATTTGATTAAAGTAATTATTTTTGACCTATAGCTGCCCTGACATCAAGTTTGTTAGTATTATGATTATTATTTTATATACCAAGACTTATTTGGGTTTGAAGATTAACGGGTAAATCTTAACTGGAGTGAGACACAATACAAAAATATGATTATGAAATTACGCATAAAGATTGTCACTCATGCTGGTGTAGTTTTCTCTTTGATGGCACCTTTACATATAAAAGTGGAACTGACTGGGAAAGAAATCCCATAGACAACTGGACAAGGCATAATGTTAAAATTTCAAAAATATAGTTTTTGTGGTCACGAAAAGCAGAAAGACATAACATAGATTTACAAAAGGACATTGCAGATACAGTAATATCGTCAAGGCAACAGAGTTGATGCCATGTTCACTTCTGGTCCCAGACTGTTACCGGCCTCCACACTGGTCAAAGTTATTTTGGCACACCAGTCAAAACATTTGACTGATTAGACTTGAACAGATACTAAAACCTGAATATGTTGCTCAATGTACTGATTGGAGATTGTCGAACATCTGGAGTGATATTTTGTAGAAAAATATAATGAGGCAATATTAAAAAGATGCACTGCAAGATTTCAATGGATAGATTTACAATGATTTTCTATATAGCTTATAAATACATGTATCTACACAGTATGTAGTATAAAAAAATAGTATGTAGCATTTAATGGGCACTGGATTCCTCTGTTTTTCCTCAACATAAAAATAACAAAACATGACAATGTGAAACTGGTCAGGCACAAGATTGCGTTATTCTCCTAAACACTGCCTCCTCCTCCTCACTGTACAGGTTTAGGTAGTTCTACCCTTACAACAAATGGTGGCAGTCAAGCATTCACAAACTTTCATTTAACTTTGACTATACTGAAGGGGAGGTATAATAAAAATCTGCCTGGTCCAAAACCATGTAGTGTAAAAGCCTACAGACAAAAACAAAGACATTTTACACATTTAGAGAATTATATTTGTTTTACATAAGCTTCTGTTTAGGTGTTTTCCCCAAAATCATTAAGTGCATAGAGATTAGTGTAAAGTTAGTTTTGGTCTGTCTGTACCAGTTGTGTCATTTTTATCGTACCACTGCTTTTACTAATAATTGTATGCAAATGAGAAATTGCCAATAAGAAGCCTGAGCATAGACTATAACAATGTGAATTTTTTTTTTCAATATTATATAGTTTGTTTAAGTCCAAGCTGTATTTTAGTTTAAACTGCAAAAAGAAGTATTGGTGATCGACACGTTTTCGATGACAAATGGCATTTTTGGATGTAAACATTACTATCCATGACCTGCTTTCTCAAACAGGGCTTTCGGGCAGAATATGTGCCACTTGGTGTTATAGTGGTACAGCTCTGCATGACTCACGTCAATAGCAAAGGTACTTGAATGAACCGCTTGGTAAATGAAAGGAGGTAAATCTAAATCAAAGACTGTACCACATTATGGTTCCACCTGCTCCTTCAGTTTCCATGGTAACCACACATAGCTGCAGCAGCGAGAAGGAGCCTTTGGGGGGCGCCCATCACATATGGTTGCTGCTGTTTTCATTATTTGGCATTAGATAAGTTAAACGTCCTGCTGTGTGCTTTTTGTCCTTCAGCCTCTTTCTTCTAGTTTAAGGCAACTTATATTTGTGATAATTTTAATAAAACCTTTTCTTAAAAAATGTACAAATTTCTTGATACAAACCTCTATGGCATTATCAGTAAACACTGTATAGAAAATATATAAATATGCTTCTCTCTTTTTAAATGTACAAATGTTCTGCAGCTCCCAGTTTTCTTTTCTCCTTATGTTGTCCTCCTTGAACAGTCTCTCTTTCCCATTTTTAACCTCAGATATGCACAATTGCTATTTACAGTGAGGGGATGGAGCTGTGTGGAGGGTGGAGAGGCTCACGAGGAGTCCGTGCAGGGTGAGGGTGGAGGAGGGTAGAGGTGATGAGAGTAGCTGCGCTCTGTGTATGGCGAAGGCGGGCAGCTCTCACAGTTCTCCTCCGCAGACAGGTACTGACTACGGGGCGTGGGCGGAGGCGGGAACGGCTCTGAGTCGTAGTTGAGGTCGCTGGTGTAGCCCTTTGCTGCCGCACCAGATTTGAGCGGCACTCGGCGGCCTGGAGTGTAGTCACTGTCACACACGTCAGTGCTGCAAGGAGTGGTGGGTGGGGCAAAGTGTCGGTATGTGTATGGTCGATAACTGAAAAAGAAGGTATAAAAGGCATTAAGTTGTACAGAAGGAATTAAACCAAATATCCGTCATGCAGCGCTCTCCGTAAGCACCGGATAAACAATATGTAACAGCTTTAAAAGGTATTTTATTACCATTTTATTTCACAATATTCAAAACTACAATAACTACTTATTACAAATTTGAATAATTTTCAGCCTCATTCTTCTCTTAAATTCCGTCAAAAGCATATTTAATTGTGGGTACGATTTCTCAGTTTCCATACCTGTAAGATCTGTGCGTTGAAGGACTGTTTGAGGAATACCCGAACTCCATAGTGTACTGAGAGCGGACGGTTGCGGGGGACGGTGGAGGATTCAGGATCTGAAAAACATATTTTTAATCATTACATTTTGTGCTTATTTTCAAAGTAATTGTATTCATTCAGAAAACATTAAAGCTCACCGGGGGGAAGTAGGTGCCCTTTGTGCTAGAGGAACTGCTGGATGAGGCACCGGTCACATGTGCACGGTCATACGGTGGGCCACTGCTCCCACCCATAATGCTGAGGGAGCCAATCATAGACTTCCCTCGAGACATACCTGGGGGCAGTAATAGTGTAGGTTAGAATCCTGAGTACGCGCTTCTGAATAAACTTAAAATAGAAATCACAGGCCCCACCTGGGAGAGAGCTGGACAGAGAGCCGGGGTGTGGCACGTATCCAAGTGGCACAGAGGATGGCCCATGTACTACAAAGTCATTTGTTACCGTTTCACTGTCATCCTTCATCTGTGGACAGAGGACGCGCTGGCATACAAAGTAAATAGCACCAACGCCAAAGAGTGCCAAGACCACACCCACAATTGAACTAATAGTGTTGTTTGGAGGGGGAGGTGGCTCTTCTGTTGGGTCTGAAAACATCCAAAATATTGAAAGTTTAATACCTGCAGCACTGACGTGGCATACCATATTTAGCTATGTGTGGACAATTAACATAGAAAATAAAACTTACAGCAGCCAAGTTCATCAGAATTGTCAGTACAATCCATGTTATGATCACACTTTTTGTGTTTTCCAATGCATTGCCCATTGGAACAGCTGAACTGATCAGGGGGACAGCGAACTGAAATAGGGGTGACAAGTATATTTTTAAAATATCAACACACATATCTTTAATACATGATAAAAGCTGTACTTTGGCATAAAGGTTATTAATAACTAGATCACAGCCTTTACCTTCACACTTGTTCTCATCTGAACTGTCTTGACAGTTGATCTCTCCGTTGCAGCGCAGGCTCATATCGATGCACTGGCGACTGTCACACTGAAACTCAGACTCAGAACAGACTGGGCAGTCGTCCTCATCGCTGCTGTCATCACATTCAGCAAAGCCATCACAGCGCCAAGCCTGAGGGATACAGTCCACCTCTCCAGAAGTGCAGGAGAACTGCTCCGGTGAACAAGTGGGGGGCTCTGTGGACAGACAATACAACGCTTATGTAGCTAAGGCAGAAAAGATAAACACGTCATACTCAGATGTGTGGTATTCACCTCCACAGGAGAGCTCATCCTGCAACAGCACCAGATGAATTGGACAGGAGCAGCGAGTGGTCCCATCCCCCTTCACGATACAAATGTGGGAGCAGCCACCAT